TCACTTTGAGACCACTGGCTTAAACAATTACAAGCAGAGAATTTAACAACAAAATTCATTTTCACATAACTGCATTTTAAACATGAAAACATAGTGATCTGAATCACGAAAAGTATATATTTTTGCTTGTTTTTGCTTTCTTAATCAATTTTAAATCTTTCAGAATCTGGAATGCCTTAAAATTTGTTCACTTTGTTCCTTATATCTTGTTGAACAACATCATTAATTTATGGATTCTCAGTATGTTTATTTCAATATGGCAATTAATATAGGGCACTATTTTAATGCAAAACAAATTATATTCTTATAACTGCTAAAAAATGGTTTTGGACTGAACAATACTATTTAAATCTCCACTAATACAGTGGTTTTGAAATAACTTTTCTGTGTGTGATGATTAACAGTTAAAAACAACACAAAGCCAGAAATAAAACCTTTAATATATCAGAAAGTGCTTTGCAGTTGGCAAAGCAGTGAATGATTTTTTTTTAATTCTATTCTGACTTAAAAAATAATGCAGATCCTAAAGCAGACAAATGACTTTCATTACCTAAATATTACATACAACACACATTATTTACATATTATGCATGAGCCTGTAATTATACAGCAAAAGAGTCTTTGAAAAGGCATCTTTAAACCAGTGCAAAGCTCTGACGAAAAAGTGCATAGTCAAAGTTCAAAATATACAAATTCATGCTAATATTTACAAAGTAATGAGTTATGTAAATGTGAGAAACACTTTAAGTACATATATAGAGGCAGTACCTCATTCATCAAAATATCATCACAGATGATATGGTTAATAACACTTTAAATATTAAATTACAAGATTTGATTGAGTTAAAAAAATCACAAAAATATGGAATGTTAGTATTTATACAAAATAATTCACACATAAAATACATGAATGGGGGAAAAAATCTGTATCCTGTTATAAAGAGGAATGTTTTTTTTAGCTCATGTTTTAAAAGAACAGGAATTCAAAACAATCATACAATAAAAACATACTGATCCTTTAAATTTAACAAATAAAAAATATCAACAAACCAATTTACGGAATCTGTATGATATCTTCGAATAAATGGGGGGGGGAAGATGAGCAAATAATCTATATAAGCAAATAAAAGAAAATATATTATTCATTATTAATGTGAATTTGTTAATTTTCTTTTTAATTATTTACTTATTTTCTGGCTTTTGCTTAATATATTTGCCATGTAGTTGGTGACTGCATAATATTAAAGGCTTTTTAATATGAAAGAAACATTTAAAAAATTAGTTTTGCTTTGAATAACTGATATGTTATGTCAATAAATAAATTTTTAAAAATTCAGCACTAATATTAACCAAATAAAATTTGACTGAATACGGATTTATACAAATTGAATTTTAAATTATGTTTAGTAATACTAAGATAATTTTAAATTCATTTTGAACTACTATTTTTAAATAAATGTTAATTACTCATAATTAAAAAAAAATTTGATGAACAACTAACACAATTATTTGCTATGCATTTCAATTTTCTACACTCAATAATTTTGGCTTTTTGCAAAAATTCATTAACACACACATAGTTTAAACTTCAGATGAGCTAAAATAATGCACAACACAATGTTAAAATTGGAAGTTCTTCTATGAAAATATATTATAATTGCACAACTATTTAATTTTATATATGTATCCAGAATACAATAAAACCCCAAAAATTATTTAAAACATTTAAAGGTTTTAGTTTCTAAAACCTATTACAGTACAAAGTCTCTAATCCGGACGTCCATTATCCGGAATGATCTATAACCAGACCTCAAAGCCACAAACTTTTTTTTTTTTTTTTGGTGTGCTTTATGCATGTGTGCTTAATGTGTGCATCGGATAGTGAAGAAACTGACAGAGAGGTTACTGAAAACAAAAAAATTTCGATTGACAAGTTACTCAGTATTCTCGACACAGCAGTTACAGGACCTGAACAGTGGAACTTTGTAACTGAACAAGAAATTATGTATGTTTATAGAATTAAACAGAAAGTATTAGCACAAAAAACAAAGCAACTTAAACAACTTACATTGAAAGAAATGTTTAATAAAGTAAACAAATAAATATTAAGCTTTTTTTTTTCTTTTATTTTGATACCCTTTAGATCATAATTGCTCTTTATTTCATAAATTACGGTTTCATATTTTTAATTGTATAATTTCTGCATACCATCTTACCAGATTTAAATTGATGATCTATAATCCGGAATTGACGAAGTCCCAACGAGTCCGGATTACGGACTTTATACTGTATTTGCAGATATTTCAGATATTTTACTAACTTTATAATACAGAAACATACACTTCCAATTTTTTTTTCTTCTCAATTTCACAAGAGAATTAAAAATCTAAATAGTAGTTACATACCCTATTCAATATTTATAGTAATTTATTTTAATCCACATAAATAAAATTTATTGCAATTAAAAATAAAGGTCTCCCATTTTCCTTACACAATACAGTTACTGGAAAAATTCTATAATACATACCCTTCTTATGAAAAATTTTTTGCATACTAAATTGTATGATTTTAAAAATGTAAAACATTTATCAAAATCATGAAAATGGATAACATTAGATTAAATGAAAAGTGTTTTTAAAAATAGAAAATACCAGATTCATGAACAACAGAATATAATTCACAAGAAATCAATTCTCACCATTACATTTATTTAATACAGAATTTCATTCAATATTTACTTATTTCCAAATGATTCCTTAAATCTATTTATATTCTTCTTTTATGTATTAAATGAAAAACGAAGACCTTTAGAATAAAAGAAGTTAATAACAATTTTATATTTATGCCAGAAAGTCTAAGATATAAAGCAATAATTTGTTTTGTTTTTTCAAATTCTTCATTTAAGCCAATGGCAATTTATAATAACTTCTCAGTAACATAGATTCGGCTAAACAAACCTACTTTATGACAAGTTTTACTAAGTGTGGCTAAAACTGTTTTTCTGACGAAAGTAGAATTTTCAGCAACTTATTAATATTTTTAACAAAGTTAAAAATTTAAAAGATAAACACTGATCTTGCATCATAATAAAATTATTGGTATATTATAAAAATTGTTAAACTGTACGTAATAAGATGTGGTTTCAACTCTTAAGAAATTAGGTAGCAGATTTAATAAAACAATCACAATTTTGAACTAAAACATACTAAATTTTGTATATCAGTAAGCATAAAATGGAATTCAAGACTTTGTACATATTTATGTAAAATTATTGAAACATATTACAGCAAAAAATTACATTTTCTTTTCAATAATAAAAAAGTTAAATTCTTAAAAAACTTTTAAAAAAATGCAAATGTAAATTACAAATTTTTTTTTAATATCAAAATTCAATATAACACATTACAGTAAAATTTTTACATTTACATTTAGTTTCTGATGTAAAAATAGGTGAGACCAGTTCAATTTTAAATTACACTTCTGTAAAGACAATAGAATTTTATACATAAAAGCAGTAATTTTTAAAGAGATTCAAGGAAAAAAATTATGAAATACCTAACTTGCACAAAATGCATTTATGCAATAGGTAAATTTGCTAATTTTTCAAAAAAGAAAAAATATATATTTAATGGGGAATAAAAAATACATTACAGCAGGAATAAAAAACAAACTAACCATCAGATCATTTTTCAATTAGTTCAGTCAGTGTTTATAATATTTACGTCCAACTCAGTTATTTTCAGAACTCATATTTATCTCACACTATAAAATGGCTAATCACTAACTAAATACCCCCTCAAAGGAAGAAACAAATGTTGCAATGGGGGTGATTCTTAAACAATACATAAAAAGAAAATATCACATACTTTATAAATACCCTTACAATAAAAATACTACAAAAACAATTGATTTTAAGGAGGAAAACAAATACTGAACTGTTTATGAAAACTGGAATTATTAATAAAAGAAATTCTTTAATATCAAGAATGAAGACTAACTGACATCAATCATTTGAGCTGTAAAGATACTGACCATGAAACATCACTTCAAATAAAAAATTTTTACTATATATATATATAATATATATATATATATAGTAATAGTGTGTATTTATTGTGTATATATAATAGGCACTGAATTACATTAGGCTATAGAACTAGCAGCATTCTTTCCTTAAAAGAAGCCATACACTTATCTTTAGAAAAAGCAAGCCAAAACTACATGCAGCACATATTTGTACTTTATAATAAAAAAGCTCAGGAAAACTTTGTGAATGAGTATTACACTTGAAACATCATTTCAAGCTTTACAAAAAAAATTCAGGTAATTTCTATTTAAAAAATTAAACCGGTATCAGTTGATTGTTTTGGATGTGTCTCTCAAATAAAAAATAAAACTAGACTTCTTAAGTGTAGAAGGCCACTTCACAAAGTAATAAATAAAATGCACATCACAGGTTACTTACCTGGAATTCAGGAAAGGTTTTTATCAAATAGTTAAAACTCATGAAAATAATTTAATTACAAATGAAATAAGAAAACAAATAAATAAAAACTCGAACCAACTGTTCATAAATACAACACGAAAATAGTAAAATAACTTAAGGTAAATAGTATGGAAAATTCTGTATTTTCCCAAATTTAGTTCATGAAGGAATGTAGTTAGGATGCTCAATTCTATCAAATTAAGCACACATATGAACAACTTAAAAACTTTTCAAAGAGTAGACTATTTCAAACTTTTTCAAATACTTCCATAATTAATTACAATTCTGCAATTAAAAAATACTTCAAAAAGTTATTTTGTTTCTTAGCAACATTTTTGAATAATGGATTCAAATTAATTTTTTCATTCAAAAACTTCAAATATATATTAAATTACCAAAATTTTAAAAATAATTCAGTAACTGATTATATTGCATTTTAAAAATCTTAAATCTTCAAAAACAATTTACAATAAGTATTATGAATTTTTTAGTCTAAAATTTAAAATATCTTGAAAACACACAAAGCTACTAATTTTTTTTTATCAAAATTAATAATTCAGACTTGAAATAATAAAACAGTTATCCAACAAAAATGGTCTTCAAATAAAATAAAACTGAATATTATGCTTATGAAACACTTAAAAACTCGGTGCATGAACTAGTAAGGTAAAGAAGACTAAAATATTGCATTAAGACTGACCCAAATGTAAATTGCTTTTTTCTTAGCATGCCTTTCCGAAAAATGGGTGCTTTTGAATATCAAACTCACATCCCCTCTCCTTAGCCAAGAAATAAAACATATAAAGTAAGCACCAAAGCTGAAAATAAATAACAAAGTAGTTACAATTTTTTTAATTATAATTAAATGCACGGAGCAAAATTTTTCTGTATAGGTATAGAAGAAGAAAACAAGGATGATGACAAAAACTAAAAATAATTTATCATCTACACTCTAAATTGCATATTCAAAGAAAATACATTTGGCTATTAAACAAAGCACCTGGACATTAAAAAAAAAAAAAAAAAAAAAAAAAAAAGATAATGATGAAAGAAAGGAAATACATTTACGTTCAGGTTATTTAAAAATGCCCTTAACATACCTAGGTCATGCAAGATACAGCCTTACTTACACAGATTTTTTTTTTTCCATACACAATTAAGTTAAAAAATTTAAGATCAAATTTTAAACAAGGCCACTTTACATTTGGGTCAATACAGTGACCTACTCTTACAGAAAAACTCTCAAGTTGTTCACAATGGAAGTACATATTCCCCTCCCCCCCCTCCAATACATGGACTGAAACCAGCATCTCACTGGCAAAACAGTCTTTACCTGTGAACTATCCTTTTTACTTCAATGGTTCATTTATTTATATATTTATGTATATGTATATATATATATTTTTACAAAAACTATCTTATTTTCTTAGGAAAAGTTATAATTCTACTGAAAATTGTACATTTACTTGCATTAAGGTTGCCAAAAATTTTTCACTACCTCACAGACGACTGCCGATGGTCATCGATATTGATCGTATCTGAAAGTGGAACCGTGCTGTCTTGAGATTGTCCGTCGGCTGGAATGTCTAGGAGGCTCTTGAGATCGTCTGTTCCAGAAGCTTTATTTACAGTTTTTATAATAGGCTCTTCAGTTTCATCTATACTGAAGCGAACTCGAGACGCACTTCCATTTTCTTCATTAGATGAACTTCTAGAGCTATTGAAAGGTGTTCCATTCGTAGGCGTACCATCGTTATTCGACGAGGTACTGAGGCACCCTTTTGTGGGAGAAGAAATATTGTCTAGACCAGATTTTATTTTGGCGTAGGCCAAAGAGCGATAGCTGCCAGAAGAATCCATCATTGCACTATCCTGACTATTCTTCCTTCGAGGTGTGTTGGGCAAAGAGGTAATCACTGTAACATAAGGAGCATGATAAGCCCCTACTGTTAAAGGCGGTAAAGAATGAGAGAGAACTTCTGATTCCTGTTCATTATTTTCCATTCGGAACATGGGATTGATATTAGAGGAAGCATTCGAAGTATCAGAAACATTAGAAGAAGTTCGTCTATGAGTGTATATTATTCGCTGTGGCGTACGAGGTTGTACTAGACCAACAGTCGATGAAGGAGTAGGAGAACTAGGATTTTCATATGAATGAAGACTTTCTTGATGACATACCTCGGGATACAAACGTTCAACATGATAAACGTCTGGCCTTGCCTGATCGGCATAAACTTTCTCTACGTAGCAAACGGATTCCACACCAGCACCTCTGTATTCTTGATAATAGTGATAAGAAATTTCAGGATGACGGGAATGATCTGGAAAATGCGGAGGGGGTGTGTGGTATCCTTCTTGGCGGTTGAAGTCATATGACATGCGTTCCAATACTGATGATATACCTGAAAGAAGAAGTAAGTGAATGCAAAAGAATAGGCATATTCTTTTTATCCAATAAAAACATTTAGACTTTTAGTATTGTATGTTTAAGCAGTTAAGTAGTATTGTATGTTTTAAAATGAATGGAAGGATTAAGATTTAAAATCAATTTTGTAGTTAAAAAATGAAGATTTATTTAAAGAGATGGGATGAAACTAAGTCTATATTAAACAACAATATACAAGCAAAATATATAAAGATTCAGTTTCTCATTAATAATATTTTGTGGGTGTGATCATAAAAACAGGTTTTATGTAATGGAATAAAATGTTAACATACAAACAGGGAGGCGGGAAATTGTATGTGTTTCAAAAAATTAACTACAACACTTTTAAGATTAATCAAATTATTTATAATAGCTGCTTGTATCATTATAAAAACATTTATTGCTGTTTAATTCATTCTGATTAAAAGTATCATTCTTTAAAACATATATGATTTCCAACTGTTTACAGAGATACTTAACTAGTTGAAGACATGCATTCATACAATAAAGAAATTAATAAATAATTTTAAACAAAATGTTTTAACCAGCTGATATTCATTTAAGAAAAGTAACAATTAATTACCGTATTTGACGGCATATAAGACGCATTTTTTCCCTAAATTTGATCTCAAAAAAGTTACCTGCATCTTATACATAAAGGACACAGGTTAACTTTCAATACTGAATGCTATTTTTAGCCCGGATAAAGGTCTAGACACACATAACTTTTACTACATCTACATGTGTGTGGCCTTCTAAATAAAGGGTGCGTCTTATATGCCGCCAACTACGGTAATAACTTTAGAAAAACTGAATTGATTATTAAGAATGTTTTTCTGAAAACGTTCTATACAAAATTTTTATTTTTATTTTTAATAATATGAATACTCTTTTTTTTGGGGGGGATGGGATAGAAACTCTCTTAATTAGCGGAAACTGATAATAAATTTTGAGGCAACTGAAAAAAATTAAAACTAAAAATATTATTTGGTTTTTATGTGATTCACCAATACTGCCTAAGTTCTAAACACTGTTTCAAAATCTGATGAATGATAATACTTTTCTAATCCTTAAATACTGTTTTAAAATAGTGTTCTTAAAAACTTTGAAACACTGAAATTAAAAAGCTATCAGTTTTAGACTATCTTGCAGCTTTCTTTTTCCAAGTTACATACAAGTGCAAATCTTGACCTACATTAGACATTAATAATAATTTTAAATTTACAGTAAGAGATCATTACAAACTGTTATAAAGTAGTATTGAGAATATTCAATGGCAGTTCCATCTAAAGAATATTTCCCTCAAAATAAACAAATTTTCTCTTTTTTGTTTCAGACATTACACAAATTATTAATAATATGAGTAGAATAATTTCCATTTATTTATTTTGATTCTTTTAGCTCCGTCACCTGATAAATATCCTTTTATTCTTTATTAAGAGATACGGAGATAATTCTGCAGCAAAAATCTACAAATAAAAGCATTTTTCTGACATTTCTACAGAATATTCATTCGGATTACATCAAATTCTGCAAAGAAAATATTTCTTAAGAATTACATCCTTTTAATAAAGATTCAAAATAAAAATAATCATTAATATTAAAATACTGAAGTGTGTAAAAGATTGGTACTGACTATTTTGTAAACTATGAAATTATGTACAACATACAAAAGTTACTATGTATGTATTATACAGTTTACTTCATTAATAACCACAAGCTGTGAAACCAAAATGGCCTTTTTTTTAATTACTCATATTCTTGTGATGAAACATTAAAAAGAAAACTCTTTTATGCATCACATTTAACCAATTTTGGCATCATAAAAATCTAACAGGTATATCAGAACATAGGATACTTATATTTTAAAAGTTAAACGTACTAAAGGATTATATTAATTTTATTTATATTCTATACCTGTTAACTTACCATACTCACTCAAAACCAGAATTTGTTCAGTGAAAGAAATAACATTCTAATGAAAAAATATATATATATATATATATATATTATATATTTTTTAATAATGAATTTAACACATTTACTGCCATAGGAGGTATACAAAAATTCACCAGACGGTGATTACCCTGAAATATACCTCAGTCTATGTTGGTATGTGTTGGCTATTAGACGATAACACAAATCACATGCCTGTGCACAATCAGCAGCAAAAGCATTACCATTTGATAATTTTCTAAAAGTACAAATGGTAATTTTTGAATACAAGTTGTATAAAAATAATCATATACAACCTTTGCTAGAAAATCTCCCCCCCCCAATAAATTTACATTGTGTTTCTATGCACAAATGTTTGCAAACATAAGTTCCTTCCCCCATGAAGAATCAAAAAAAGTCCGATGATAAACGGCATACACTCCAAAACACAATATACTTCTTTGAATACATGAATACAATACAAGAAACAATAATGCAATTTAATACAAGAAATGTCTGCATATGATTTTTGAAAAGTAAACGAAAGTTTTACTTTTTCATAGACATAACTAAGATAACAGATCTCAAAGCCTTAAAAACTTCTTAAAGCATGAAAAATCCATGCCATTTAGCAACAAACAGTAATACAAAGAATAGTGTCAATGTTGCTTTGTGCTCATTGGTAAATATTACTGTACAAGATAACTCATAGGTGTGCTTGATGCTCACTGGAGAACTGAAACACATTTTTCATCTATAATCTCATATACATTTTTTAAAAAAAATCTGAAAGGTTACAAATTTTAAATTACATCCAAAAGGGCTTTTTTTTTAACATTTTGTCTGTCACCTATATTTATTAAATATCACATTCGCCGCACTTAAACCATAAAATTCAGTTCAAAAGCAATATCACAAAACAGTTTTAAATTGAGCATATCCCCCTTTCGAATTTCCTATACAGAGTCTCATGCACTGAACGTTGCCATCACTTGGTTTGAAATCCTCAAGTTTGTTAAAAAAATTCGTTAAAGTTTTACAAAATATAAAATCGATAATAAAACAAATTCCAAATTTGGGCTTCCAGATGCCCATATTCGCAGCAGGATTACGTCATTCAAAATTTGATGGCATTATGTACCGTTGTTTTATCACAATGCGAAAAATATACATACATTTATGCAGATTTTTCATTACTTAATTTCTCCAAATAAAATAGAGTACTCTAACGTTTGGTGGCAACAATTTGAAAAGTGAAACTGACATTTATAGTGAACTAACGCAAAATACCAAAATGAAAACAATAGTTCTTCAGGGACAAAAACCCTTTGAACTAAAGAAAAGAGGTGATTTCAAATGCTTAGTTAGTTACCTTAAATTTCTGTTTAATTTAAAATTTGAATTTGTAAAATTTTTAAATTCTTCAAATCTCAGTCACATTTTGGGGTATATAGATAAAAATTGTAAGAAATTTTAGGAACAGAGAAAGTACACTGAAATATGTGAATCAGTTGGTGAGAATACAGTGGAAAATCAGGAATCTCCCATCTGAATTGTGAGAGCTGGCATGTCAGCTTGTATAATCATAGGAAACAAATAATTACAATACAGTACAAAGTCTGTAATCCAGATTCGTCGGGACTTCGGCGATTCCGGATTAGGGGTTTTTTCCGGTGTAACATATTTTGCAGTAATTGACAAAACAGATAAACTTCTTAATAAAACATAAATTTTATTTTTAGTTTACGAAGATAGATAATTTGTATACAATTCTTAAGTGGCAAAATTTTCATACATCTGCTAGCTGGTCAAACTTCAGAATTCTAATCTTAAAACAATATCTTATGTTGCTGAGCAACAGTTACATAATACAAATATGGCGTTGCCTCTTCAACAATAAATATAGTTATTTGATAAATAACAATATATTACACTGGATTATAGATCATCGATTGAAATCTCGTAAGATGGCATGCAGAAATAATACAATTAAAAATATGAAACCATAATTTATAAAATAAAGAGCAATCATGATCTAAAGGGTATCTATCAAATGTACAAAAAAAAAAAAAAAAAAAAAAAAGGCTTAATATTTATTTGTTTACTTTAGTAAACATTTCTATCAATGTAACTTGTTTAAGTTGCTTCTTTTTTGTGCTAATACTTTCTCTTTAATTCTATAAACAGACATAATTTCTTGTTCAGTTACAAAGTTCTACTGTTCAAGTCCTGTAATTGCTGTGTCAAGAATACCGACTAACTTGTCAATCGAAATTTTTTCATTTTCAATAACGTTCTCTGTTACTTTCTTCACTATCGGGAAGCGCGCATGAGTAAACGCTTTACTGGGTTTACGCGCATCAAACACGCATGCGTCAGTTTGTGGCTTTGAGGTCCGGATTATAGATCATTCTGGATAATGGACGTCCGGATTAGAGACTTTGTACTGTAATAACAAAATGATGTGTTTGCTATAAAATATGCAATGAAAAATTTTTTAATGAAAATGTAACATCCTTACCTAATGGAGAAGGTCCGAATCCAGAACTTGAACTCGTTGCAGCATGTTCACTTTCATTGCTAGCATTGGATGATTTGCGACAAGGACTCTGTGCATGTGGTGTGTAAGAACCACCAGAGCTTATGCTAGGATTATGTTGGGGAGAATCAGTGAAATGCAAGGGGATCCCAAAATCAAAATTTAGACCTGGTCTATAATGCCTTGTTGGACCATGGTATGTATTATGCGGGTACCCTGAAGCAGATGAGAATTCATATTCAGATCCAAGACATAATGGAGAACCTAAGGATGGAAAAATTATAAACATGATAAATACTACTGAAGTAATTATAAACACATAAATACTACTGAAGTGATTTTCAAATTCAAATAAAAGCTCACAACTGTGAATAAAAATCTGAAACTGTCATTTTTTAAAAGTATGTATACATTCTAGTTTTATAAACATTTGAATTTTAAACCATTTTTATGATGTATTGATATATAAAAAATTTTGGCACTCACGGATCTTTACATAACAAAGGCCAAAAGGATCTTGCCAAAGAGTGCCAATCTAAATGCAAGAATGGCCTTAATTTCGTTTAGTTGTAGGAAAACTTTTAATAAATGAGTACTTATACTTTTACCAAATAAATTTGGCAAGTTAGAACAAGTTTTTGCAAAAGTGGGAACATGTTGGGTTTTCCAACTAAGTCTTGCAGCGGCAGCGCCAAACAGGCGATACGGACTTAAAAACTGTACAGAAAAGCGCCAATTGGCGAAACAGTAAACCCGTTTGGCAAACCTACAGGCTGACGGAGAGAGAAGATTTTTCCCCGGCAGTCAAGTGGAACTACTTCAACAAATGTGTGCGTCTCTGTTTTCGCCGAGATATGTAATCTTGTGTACTCGCATCTGTACTGTGCTCTGAATTTCTTAAGCCGTTATAATGTACCACCCGGCAACTGATACTTTTCCTTATTAAATTTGATTATTAATTGTAACATGTCTATCTTAACTAAGATTTCAGCTTTCCTAGTTAATGTTAGGGATATTTTCGTATGCACGTGTTACTCACACGTACATCATTGGTGACCCTGTCCCTCGCTCCTTCTGTTTCGATCTCTAATGACTATCTGTCTCAATCTTTGTTTAAAAACTAAAAATATGCCTTATTTTGATGCCAATGCTCTTCCTTATGACTGATAAAGGCTCAACCCTATTTATTTCCTCCTCATTTTATCGTACGGATTACACGTGGTTTATCACACTTAAGGAGGATTTACAGTATGTGGTCAAATTTTTTTAATTATCTGTGATTGGTCTTAATTATGTTTTTGTGATATGTTTTGCTCTAAAATTATAGTTTTAATTTAATTATTGATTGTTTAAAATTGATCTTTGGGTAATATTCGTGCTCACACTTTTATTGAGATATTGAATGTCTTCATTATTTTATTCTAAATTGATACTGTGTTTTGATAAGGTATAGTGCAAAACATTAAGTTTACGATTTACGATATAATTATAATTGGCAACCATGCCAGGATCGGAAGGCCAAACGAACGAGGAATCGAATATGGCGGTTCAGGAGCCACAAATCTCACACGTGGCAGTTAAAATTCCCCCTTTATGGAAAAAAAATGTTTTGCTTTATTCAAGTTGAAAATAACTTTGCTTTAGCGAAGATTAGTAGCGATAGTACAAAATACAACCATGTGGTTTCTTCGATACACCCACCCTGAAACTCTTTCCGCAGTATCAGATATTTTATTTAATCCCCCAGCGACGGCTAAATATGATGCCCTTAAAGCTAGGTTAATAGTAGAATTCTCAGATTCGGAAAGCGAGCAAATACGCAGACTTATTTCTGAATTGCATTTAGGGGACGACAAACCATCTCACTTATTGAGAAAAATGAGAGAATTAGGTGGAAACTGTATAACTGACGAATTTTTAAAATCATTATGGCTGCAAAGGTTACCTTCCGAGGTGCATGCCATTTTATCAATAAGTTCGGAATCCTTAGACAATTTAGCAAAAATGGCTGATAAGACAGCTGAAGTGCGCATGCCAACGAACAACAGCGTGTTCGTGGTCCAGGCAGCTTTGGCGAGTTCCCCCAGAAACCCTAACGATTCTGGTGCCCCCCTCGAGGAGCTTAAGGCCTTAAGGAGCGAAATCTCTGCCCTAAGTAAACAAGTCGAGCGACTCTCCCGCGGAAAAACGAGGAATAATTTCCCTTTCCCCCGGGATCAACATAACACAAGCACGTAGTTTTTCGCGTGGGCATTCCCGAGAGCGTGTGAACAATTATTGTTATTTTCATTCATTCGCGATTCGGTAATAATGCACGAAAATGTCGAGCACCTTGTTCCTTTTCTCAGAACACTACGGCCCAGGAAAACTAGTAGTAGCGGCTGTCGATCGAAATTCATCGGCAGTCGCGCATTCATGTCGTTTACATGTTTACGATAACAGATTAAATTTAAACTTTTTGATTGATTCGGGCTCGGATGTTTCATGTGTGACACCGACTTCTAAGTTTAAGAAAATGCATCCTGATTCTCTTAAATTATTTGCCGCGAATAATTCCAGAATTTCTACGTATGGAACAAAATTGTTAACTGTGAATTTAGGACTTAGACGAAACTTTTCTTGGAAGTTTTTAATCGCCGATGTACCAGTGCCTATAATAGGAGCCGACTTTTTAAGGCATTTTGATCTTTTATCTTTTAAAATCGATTTAAAACGAGGTAGGCTTATCGATAATACTACGAAATTAACTCGTATTGGTTTTTTCTCTTTCCGATTCTAAAAATTATTTTTCGGTAAAGTTAATATCTGGTGATTCACCATATCACAGAATCTTGAAAGACTTTCCGGAAGTACTGAAGTTAAAATCCGATTCGGGTAGAGTAAAGCATAGTAGGGTTCATTACATCAAAACAAACAACGGTCCTCCTGTGCACAGTAAACCGCGTAGGTTAAGCCCTAAGTTATACGAAGCAGTAAAAAAAAAAGAATTTCAATTTATGATAGATCAAGGTATTTGTAGACCATCAAAATCAGCATGGTCATCACCTCTTCATGTAGTTTCTAAAAGTTCGGGCGACATACGGCCAGTAGGAGACTACCGAAAACTAAACGCGTGCACCGAACCCGACAGATACCCTATCCCGCATTTACAAGACTTTAATAATACGCTTAGCGGAAAGACAATTTTTTCAAAAATTGATATCGTTCGGGCATATCATCATATACCAGTCCATCCAGATCATATACCGAAAACTGCAGTTTGCACCCCATTTGGTCTTTTCGAATTTCCGTTTTTAAATTTCAGACTGTGCGGAGCAGCTCAAACCTTTCAAAGGTTTATGAACGAAATTCTTGGAGATCTAAAGATCTAAAATTCGCCTACGTCTACTTAGATGATATTTTGATATTTAGTGATACGGAAGATGAGCATAAATCTCACCTACGTACTGTTTTTGAAAGATTAACTTCATATGGATTGACAATTAACACTTCGAAATGTGTTTTCGGCGTTCCGGAAATATCTTTTTTTAGGCCATATAATCAATAAAAATGGTACCAACCAAGCCTCTGACGAACAAAGTGGAACCGATACTTAACTACCCACTTCCTAAAACGGTAAAAAATTTGCAGAGATATTTAGGATTTTTAAATTTTTACCATCGATTTTTACCCAACGTAGCCCAGAAACAAATACATTTAACTTCGTATTTAAAAGGGGCTAAGAAAAAAAAAAGACAAGACAATCCTGAATTTGTCTGAGGAAGCGCGGAGTGAATTTCAAAAGTGCAAACAGCTAATCGCTAATGCTGTTCTTTTGGCACACCCGAAGAAAGATGCCCAGTTGGTTTTTTACAGGTTGATGCGTCAGACTTCGCGATCGGTGGAACGCTATCACAAATAGTTGATAGAAATTTACAGCCTCTCGCATTTTTCTCATAAAAGCTTTCGCAGGCGGAAAGGAACTATAGTGCGTATGATCGAGAGCTATTGGCAGCTTATGCTGCTATTAGGCATTTTAAGCATATGTTGGAAGCACGGAACTTTTCTTTAATCACCGATCACAAACCGCTCACGTATGCATTCCGACAGCGTTTGGATAAGTGTTCACCTCGTCAGGCTAGGCAGTTAGACTTTATCTCACAATTCACCACTGAAATTCGCCATATAAAAGGTTCGGAGAATATCGCTGCCGACGTACTTTCGCGTATAGAAGCAATAAATAAGCATGCCTAACCCTATCGACTATGAGGAAATCGCTAAAATGCAAGAAATCGACCCAGAATTACAAACATTGCTTAAAGAGTCAAAAGTTCTACATCTCAAAAAAGTTACCTTACCGAATTGTAGCTTACCGATATATTGCGATGTGTCAACAGGTAACGCCCATCCTTACCTTACATTCCTCCGGCATTCCGTGAGAAAGTTTTTGCCACCTTGCACAATTTGTCTCACCCCGGCATTCGCGCGCATCAACAAAGTTAGTATGTTCACAGGTTTGTTTGGTCTTCCATCCGCAAAGATTGCGCGCAAAATGGGCACGGCAGTGCATTCCGTGCCAGAAAGCAAAAGTAAGCAGGCATACTAGAACCCCGTTAATGAAGTTTCCAGACCAATCACAGAGGTTTGATCACGTCCACCTTGACCTTGTTGGTCCCCTACCTCCTTCTCAAAATAATTATTACTGTCTAACTATGATAGATAGATTTACTAGATGGCCCGAAGCAGTACCCATACCAGACATAACAGCACGCACAGTAGCACAGGCTTTCTATGACCACTGGATTACTCGATTTGGTTGTCCGACTGTTATTACTACCGACCAAGGGCGACAGTTTGAAAGCGGCTTATTTCGAGCCCTTTCCCAATTATTGGGAATCAAGAGGATCAGGACGTCTCCGTACCACCCACAGGCGAATGGACTAATCGAGGAATTCCACCGTCCTTTGAAAGCTGCCTTAAAAGCGCACGATACCAGTGACTGGGTGGCTGCCCTTCCAACGCTGCTGATGGGTTTCCGCGCCGCTCTCAAAGAGGACATAGGAGCAACCACTTCTGAACTGGTGTATGGAAAGACTATCCATCTCCCAGGAGAATTTTTCAATCCGACACCTCCGGATGCGTCCCCCAAACAGTTTGTGGAGGATTTAAAATCTCACTTTGCCAGTGTCCGCCCGACCACGACTTCTAGCCACGGCCAGCGAACATGTTTCATTCGTCCACGCCTTCACAAGTCCACATATGTGTTTGTTCGACATGATGGAGTTAGAAAACCACTTCAAACTCCTTATGATGGACCATTTAAGGTGCTAGAAAGACGAGATAAAACGTTTGATCTCGAAATAAAAGGGACTAAGCAAACGATCTCCATAGATAGACTGAAACCCGCTTTTGTAACCATGGACTCTTCTCAAGTTGCTTCCAAGAGTGTGAAAAAAAACTTCGGACAATTGTATCACCCGTTCTGGACGATTAATACGACCCCCGCATCGGTATGTCACATTTCGTTGACACTGCGGAGGGAGTATGCAGCGGCAGCGCCAAACAGGCGATACGGACTTAAAAACTGTACAGAAAAGCGCCAATTGGCGAAACAGTAAACCCGTTTGGCAAACCTACAGGCTGACGGAGAGAGAAGAATTTCCCCGGCAGTCAAGTGGAACTACTTCAACAAATGTGTGCGTCTCTGTTTTCGCCGAGATATGTAGACTGGTGTACTCGCATCTGTACTGTGCTCTGAATTTCTTAAGCCGTTATAATGTACCCGGCAACTGATACTTTTCCTTATTAAATTTGATTATTAATTGTAACATGTCTATCTTAACTAAGATTTCGGCTTTCCTAGTTAATGTTAGGGATATTTTCGTATGCACGTGTTACTCACACGTACATCAGTCTCAAGGAAAAATTGCAAAGCTTAGGTGCTGTTATATACACGCTTATGCACATAAATACATATGCATACATAAAAAATATTCTTACAAAAGAAAAAGGATTTCATAACTCCTATTATTTGCTTTAGGGATAGCTGTCAGTAAAAACAACAAGTATCTAAAACTGTCTAGCATGTCTTAATAACTTAACTGTAACTTGTACTCAGTTTCCTTATAACACACACTTCAAGGCTGTAATGATTCCTGCTGCTAGCAAGATGCTCACATAATGAGGAAAATAACTATACTTATCTTGGAAACTATCTATATAATTGCTCCTATGAATTCAAATATTGATTATCAATTTGTTAATGATATTGTTAGTAGCTGTTACGATGTTCAGCTTCTAAAATATTTATAAAAAATATTGTTATTAGTTTTGTATATATGTACATAAAATTTTAGTGAAATTATATTGTAGTATCACTTGTATAATACAACATGAAGAATCTCAAGAGTGTAAAACTCTGCAGGAAAAATAAGGTTACGGAAGGCAAGTCCATTTAATATTGAGGTAAATGGCAAAAAGGCAAGATAGCACCAAGATGGCGATGGTTTTGGTAACTACGTTTTGTTGCCAAATTTGGCAGGAAATCATCAAAAGTTACAAAACTTGGCAACCATTTGGCGACATTTTGGTTCAATCCCTGTTTAACTGTATTGGTCTGATACCTATATAATTGTAGTTGGTCTGATACCTCTGTAATTGTATTCAGACCTACATAACTGCACCTACATATGCCATTCAGCAATTTCAAAAATCAAAGGTACTGGAAATTACTCAAGACCAGAGAGAGAACCACTTTAGTTCAGTTCAGATTTAACTCGAAGCATTGAGGATATTGAGAGATCATCGTGCAAGCTTATGCATTTGTGGCTTTCTATATGGCATATTGTCTTCATCTGAAAAGACTGGCTCATGCTTGGAAGTATCGCCTGCGATCACATGGCATATATTATAGACCCTTGCATATTCAGATTAGAATTTCTATTGAAATATTGTTTTTTTAAAGAATTTAAAAATAATGAATTTCTTCATCCAAGAACATAACCCTCGGAATCAGAGAAAAAGAGAGTCAAATATGTCCAGCACCAGCAGGCTCAGAATTTTTACAACATAGATCCATACTTGAAACCAAAAATTTCCAGTATAGAATAACAGAATATCCTAAGAGCTGTAATAGTCCGAAATGAGTACTAGTAGCCTCAACACTCATCCTACAATGGCACATAATGAGGATCATCATTCCTGTGAGAGTGATTAAGGTGAAAGTCATTAGAAAAAGGTGAAATGACTGAAGCATGCACTCCAGTGATCTGCATTAAACGATCCAACAGTCTGGCAATCCCTATGTCTTTGGAGAGCCTAATATCAGAGTCAGTGCAGATATGCACAACTAAGTGCTGCAGAACATGTCATTTAAGTTTCAAGATGTCTTCTACCACACATCTTCTGATGTAGGTCGAACCAGTTTGGCAGAACATAGAATTGATAAGAGGGATCATCCAACAATCAAGCAACATTTAAGATATCTACTGATTGATCAATAGCAAGAGGTAGAAAACTTCTAAAGGATATGCAAGAAAACAACATTCTCAAGTCTCTAGGAACTCCTTGGACCTTTCCCATCACCCTGGTCAGAAAGTAAGATGGTTCAACTAGATTTTCCGTTAACTATTGTTAGTTGAACGACATCATAAAGAAAGACAGCTACCCTCTTCCTACAACTGAAAACATTCTTCTTGAAAGCAAGTGGTTCTCGATGCTTTATTTTAAAAATGGATATTGGCAGTTTGAGATACATCCTGACGACCAAGAAAAACAGCATTTACTACCAAACAAGGACTTTGGCAGTTCAAGTGATGCCATTCACATTATGCAGTGTGCTGACAACATTTGAAAGCCTCATAGAGACATACTGAGAGGTGTTCCCTTCAAAATCCACCTGATATATCTGGAAAACATCATCATTGGGAAAAGTTTTGAAGAGTATTCAGAAAATATAAGGAAGGTGCTTTAGAAATTGAAGGAAGCCACTCTAAAATTAAGTCCTGTCAAATGTAAGCTGGAAGGAAGACATGAAATGACATCTTGGACATGTCACCTCTGGTTCTGCCAAATATACATTGTTCAGACATGAAGCGAGTTACCTTGAACATATCATCTCTGCTGAAGGTGTGTTCATGGATCCAAGAAAACCCCATGACTGGGTGAAGGAAAATCTTAAGAATCATAAAGATCATACACAGTCGAAAGGAAGGATCTATGAGTCATTAGTCTTTCACTTGCTGTTCTATAGCAATTTAAAAAGTTTTCTTTTCTACTTAAGATTTTTTCAATAAAATTAACAGCACTCCTTTGGCACTTTTCACTTAAAGGCTCGAAATCTGTCTGTAATTCCACAGCAAGAGAAGGAATTGATTTCATGCTACCAGTTATCATTTGCAACATGCCGTTTTGGCAAATATCCAGCTTGTTTCTAACACAATCTGAGGCAGTAATAAAAATTTTCCTTACGTTATTCAACAACAGGATGCATTTAACTTTTATAGGCGGTACACAAGAAACCCAGGAAATACCAGCCAGATATCTCATTAGTTTAGATCTCAAATGTCCTCGATCAATGGCTGCATTTATTTGTTTTTCCCAGGATAACTTTGGGTCTAAATGAATTCTTAAGTAAACAGTATCATTATGTTCTATTTAGATCTTCACTATCATAATGAAGGTTAATGTCATGGTGTTTAGTAGTAAGGTAGAACAAGTGAAAGGTAGTTTCTTTAGTATTTACTTGAGTCCAGGTGTTAAGAACATTTAAGGCCTGTTGTAAGACATTCTCAAGGAAAAAAACAATCGGATCCAGTAGCACTTACCGCCATATCATCAGAATGAAAATCAGATCAAAATGATCAAGCTATTATTGGTTCTGTGTGCATTCAATCCATCATGAGCCCGTAGACACATAGCAATATTGTTACGTTATTTTTTCTTCCGACACCAGTTGTTATGTTATTTTCTTCCTTCACGTTCGTACGGGGCTCGTAGATTTGGAGTGAATAATGACGACTCTTGATGAAGTATCAAAACACACTTTATTTAGACAATTTTAATCAGGACAGATACAAAACATTTTTACAGTTGTCGAAGATCGAAAATAAACACACTGGAACAATCAGCGACACAGCTTTCAGGTTATCAGGCTATAACGGTGGAGACAGCTTCACTGAAAAAGCACCAGAGTACAGCTCCCAACTCTGCTCGGTTGTTCTCGGAACTCCACGTACTCTCAAGACTCTCCACGCTACAACTCACGATGCACTCGACGACTCACAGAGCACAGCTCCTGACTCTTCAGTTCAGTCGTTCCCGGAGCCCAACAATGCACTAGCCGCGATACACTAAGAGACTCTTCGATGCACTCGACGACCAACTCGGCACTAGACTTTGAGACGCTCGCTCTATGACTGACTATCAGCTCGCTAGATGAGGCACACTCTCGATACTAACTCTCAGCGTACCAGCAGGATTTATATAGCTTTTGGCTGGTTTCGAGAACATTCCGAGCTCCTTGTCATATAACCAACTTTGTCGCCAAATAGACGATTTCTCGTCAAATGTGGCAACCCTGCCTCGTCTGCCATTTTATGGCAACCCTAAAACTTCTTTGCGGGGAAGCTATCTCACTGCGCCTGGACATTTCGCAACTGTATGTTTGAGTTCAATGCTGCAGTTGCACACGTATTTGAATCACAATGAACCAAATTACCTCAACAGAGTTTCGCAAGGCTATTTAAAAAATTGCAACATTTTTTTTTTTCAGTGAAACATATCTTACCTTGCTCTCTATACCACCATCTTTTCTCTTCATCATCATCCTCCGACCAAACAGGTGTTAACTTTGGATGGACTGTGGTCTGCGTGGCAAGCCTTATATCAAAACCAGCAGCTACACTAGCAGCTATGGCAGCAATATTGTATAAGACCAGATTAATAATATGGCTTGTTCTTTTAAGGCTATCGCCACTTCCACTGGCACCATTATAAAGAGTATGATGTCTTGGCAAAGGCAAGCTTTCTAACTGCCATTCTTCTGTACCTTAAAAAAAGAGTGAGAATGAAAATTTAATGAATATACAAAGAAATTCGTAACCATAATTATATTTCAGATATTCATCATACAATAACATACATGGTCGTATGATCCTAAAATGATAGAAAAAGTAAAAATTCAGTAAATCAAAAACTATGGACAATATAATGATGTGGCTTTCATAGAAACAGACAGGAAAGACTCTTTTATTACTATTAAGAATGATAGATTTTTATTGCCAGAAGAAGTACACTTTTAACTAACAGGTTTTGCTTTAGTTGCATCAGAAGTTCATAGAATGGCAAAGAACATAACAAATGTTCAATATAACATTAAATTCTGCATGGCATTGAAGACAGTTTACTGTTATTATGTTAAATGACAAAAAAATAACTATTTTCAATACGACCAATAATACTGGCTAACCTCTCTATACTTCAAGTAAAAATATACCTATTCAGGCAATAAATTCTTTCATTATTAAAAACAATCCTGTGCATTTCTCTGAACAGCTAACTGTGCTAATGTCTATATAAATAGTTCTCAACCTATTTTATCCTATTCATCCCCACTGCTAGGCAATAATCATCCCTCCTTCCAAAAACTCAAAAAATACATACACATTTATTTAAATTTAGATTATTTCTTAATGTGTTTTATAAATTAAACAAGTACTGAAAATGTTGATAAATACCAAAACTTGAATAAAATTGATTTTTATGTCCGTAAACTAAATACTTAAGAAAGTAAATGAAAGGCTGACTGCATTCCCTCCCTCTGAAACAACGAAATACCCTTCTCGTTGAGAACCCCTGATGTCGTACTTTAGAACCTACATGTCCATAAAAACTTTCATGTGGCATTCTTTTTTTAAGTAACCTTGGTTATAGACATGAACTTCCAGTTAAAATAATATTTTAAATTGTACAAAACAGTCATGTTTTGGCATTTTTTTATATTGCTAAAATTCAATTTTGCAAAAGTTATGAAGATAAATTTTTAATAAATAATTTTAAATAATTAATAAAATTTTTTAAAATTATTTTAAAATAACCATTACATTTTACATCACAAACATGCAAATCAAATATGCTTGCCAACACCTATTCTTAAACATGCACATACACATAAAAATAGACATACACATGCTTACACATATAAATACTAATAATTAACATGCTAACAAACTCCTCAATAGATAACATGAAAAGTCAACATACATGAAACTCTACCCAAAATACAGAAAAAAAAAAAAAGAAAAAAAAAAAAAAATTTCTCACAAGAAACCTCACCTAAATGTAGCAACAGGAATTTAAAATATTACTCTCATGTTTCTCCAGCTCATATTAGTAAACAAGTGAATGCACTCCTAAACTAAGATTATGTTCTTTATGAGATAGGAAGAACAGTCTAAATCAACAGCAGTAAAGAAAATGTTTTAATGAAAGGTATCTTGAAAAATGATGTGGTTTTAATATAGAAGAAATGGAATGAAGAAAATTAAGAAATACTTTTCATCTAATATGTTTATGCAAACAAATAGAGGACAGATTTTAATGAGCATCTTTGCTGATGCCTGTAGTTCAAATCTTCAAAATTTTCTCTGAAAAATTCAAATGGGAAATTTTATTATTGATATTTTTAAGTGAAGGGATTGCATACAATCAAAATCTGAATACATCTCAATAAAAACTTTTAAATATTTTGACTATATAATATTATAATATGTATGTTATGTTAAATTATACAGTTTAAAGTTGTTTCTACCTTTACTTTTTGTAGTCACAAACAATATTTTAACTTTGGAATTTCTGAAGGCCTGCAAGAAACACATTAAAAGCAAGAAAGCGGTAACAATCGATTATAAAAACAAAAAAGTTTCAGTTCAGACACATTTCAGTTCGAGCAGGTTGTGACACTAAGTACTAACCACATTCAGGCAAGGCTCCAAAATTAGACAGTACACTAGAATAAGCACCTCTCTGTGATTTTTCCAAGTTTGGAGCACTTTTAGACCAGCGCTTATTTCCATCTATCAATAAGCGACGAGAATGGCAGCGTTCTTTCTGATGAACAGTACTAGGTCCCCAAGTTTTACCCTTCACTCCATCAACTGGTACTAAAAAATAATATAATATTCATAAAAATTTTAATGAAAAGCATAAAAATCATATTTCAATGAACATGTAAGAAATGTTAAAAAAATCATTAATTCACCCGATTACTTTGTTACCATGCAACACCAGTGACTTATATAACATTTACAATAATATGTAAAATAAGCTATACCACCAGTATTAACCCTTTGAGGTTCGGTGCATAAAAAAATTTTTTTTGAAAAAAATAACTTTACACATAGATAATTAGCCACTAATACAATGTTATTTATATATATTTGTAATAATAAAATTCCATAGTCAAACTAATAACTGTATGTTCTTTTAATTTTTAATGGCGACATTCTCTTATTTAAAAGTACGTGAAATTAAATCCACAGCCCCGTAGTCAAGTTGTTTTTCTACACGTACAGTTTTAGAATGTTCTGGAGATATTTAAAGCGAACTGGAATGGCTGACGAGGCTGACGTCATTTCTTGGAAGCTCCGCCTTTCCAGAGGCTATAAAAAGACTCGCAAAAGAAATATCGGGGCTTTTTCTTAAATGTCACGATGCAGTAAACTTCATACAAAAAGTTATTAGTAATTTTGTTTATTTACTCCGAATATCTGATTTTTGTAACTGCTATTTCTCCTGAATAATAATAAATGGATCCTGTTTTTTAAAACTTATCGTCTGATTATTTAAGCTACGACTACATCTTCACAAATCTATTTATTCCGGGCAAAAGCTGATACATCACATATATATACATAAAAAGGTCAATCTTTATGGTAATTCATGGCGTGGTGGGATACCACTTGTCCCATCGTGCATTTACAGCAAAAAAATGGCATCTTTCCCTCAACATAAATTCTCCTAACATGCTTATCTAAACTGCTAGTTTTAGCAACCAAATGAAAATGAAAGATATAAAAAACTTTTTTGAATAATTATATTGAAAATATTGATCATATTCGCAAAATAAAAAATAGTTTTTCAAAAAAATTACATAATTTAAAAAAAAATTGCTCTCTGTACGACTTTTTAGATATTTTTTAAATGATTTCATAATAGATTTGAAACAAAGAAGATTTTTGCTTCAGTACTTTATTTGCTACAGGCTTGAAAAGGAAGATATTTAGAAGGCCATCATGTTTATTTACATTTCACCTCTCTTTCTTCTGGATATTTTTCTATGGTGAATCACACTTATATATCTATTCAGTATTCAATGACATTTCATGTTACATTGTTATATTTTCATTTTTTTGGAAAAAAATACTAAATATTTTTTAAGTTTTAACATTATTGCAATTTATTAAAAATATAAATTTGCATTATTGACATATAAAACGAACATGATACTTGAATTTAAAAATATTTGAATGGTGCTGCCATCTAGTAGCAGCAATTCCTACATGCACGGTGGGATGTATTTGGTCCCACCTTTTAATTTCAACCATTCTTAATTAATATCTATGAATTCAAATATTTATTTATTTATTTGAAAAGGGAACTTTCACATAAAAATATTCATTCTAGCACCAAATGTTGCTGTTCAGACAATTTAAATTGCATTAGAAGTAAATTAAAAAAAAAAAAAAAATTGCTTCAAAATTAGACTTGAAAAGAATTATTTTACATTATTTCCATGAATGAATACTAGTGCTGCCATCTGTTATACATTTAGAGAACTAAAACGCATATTTGTATGTATTTTAAATGGAATTTTGCAGCTTTCATCTGGGAGATAAAAACTGATAAAAAAGGTAGACGCCTGGTGTACCACCACCTGTCAAAAGGTTAAACAGCTTTACAAAAGGTATTTGTGAAAGCCAATATGGTACAAAATCTGAAATTCATACATGCAATAAATCTATAAAATGATCTAATACCTGAACCTCCACACAACCACCCAAAAAATAAATAAATAAATCTTCATCCCCTACTCTAGAAATGGAGAATATGACAGTCAATGCAAGCAGGTGTGCCATAAATGCAATTTTTTACCAGACGAATAGAGATTCCTGCATATCTCTTTCACACACCTACTGACAGAAGTCGAAATGTAGACAATAACAATGCATTGATTTCTGTTGTACTGATGTTGGCCAGGATCACACTTACTTGTGGGAGGGAGGGGAAGTTGATACTACACATTCTGCAGTTCGTGGATTTTTGCTTGGTGCTGATCTAAATTCCAAAACTTTTTTTGCTTCTAAATTCAGACCCCTCATGTGGACCTGTGAGGAAGGTTAACATTTTTCTATCTGACATAAATAATATAAGAAACTCCACTGCCATCATGCCTACATGTCATCTTACTAGATTTAAACCAATGATCCCAAATCTGGAATTGTCAAAGTCCCAACAATTTGGGGTGTAAGTGGTGTTATCACCAGCATGCACGGAAAATGATGTCCAATCATTTGATCATAACTGATCATTAAAAAACTTATTATTTAAGATTATTTTTAAGCACAAGGTATGATTGAAACATGAAAGTGAGGGATAGAGAACAACAATTATCAAATGGTGGTGCATAAATTTATCATGCATTTCCAAACACATGCTATAAACATGAAAAAAAGGCAACTTCATCAATAAAGTTTAGCACATAAAGATGGTGCTTGTGTAATCAATAGGCACTTGTAATCATATCACTGGCTACTCAGCTTTTCTCTAAGCATTGCAATAAACCTTGATGCTGTTTTGGATTTTCCAGAAAAAATGCAGTTTTCTGTCTGTTTGTTTTTGCTAATTTTCTTTCTTTTCAATTCTCTTTTTATATTTTGGTCCAAAAATACAAATATGAGTTTCCAGTGAATAAGCACAAATTAAGGTTTGTTTCACATATTTTTACAAAAAAGGCTGTTTGTTGAAAAATATTTTTGTAAAAGAGGTCATCTAAAGAGTCTTTTTAGCACCCAAGGCCTCTTTATAATGGGTAGATTTCCAGTTTTTATAAGCTTTTTATTATTTTCTTGGAATTGACAGATGGCCGCAAGTTTGACATGCCTGTCATACTGATACTGTCTGCTGATTAGCCCATACAGATATTAGTCATGCATCAGCAGGTTTTGGTTAATAAACGACCACAAAGAAGGCTTTTCTGAGGGTACACAACATGTTCAATTATAATAGTATCATGTCTATTATAGTAGTTACTACAATTAAAATTAACAAAATAATTAATTTTTAGCATACTTAACAGAATTTTACTTTTGCACGACTAAAATGAGGAAAATTATTTTGTAATAGCAAATTTGGCAAACTAATACTGAGCAAAGAATATTCAAAGTTTTTAAGTATTATTATTATTTATTTAACCAATTATTAGTACTTACATGCATAAGCTCTAAGCCGAGGTAGATTGGGAGATGCTGGGGGGCTCTCTGGACTAGCGGGCATACGTAATCCTACGATTTCTGGTCGCATGGTAGGGGACGGCTGAACCGTGATATTATGCCGAAAGTCTAAGAAACAAAATAGGCTATTTTAATAAATCATTTTATGTTTTAAATGTAAATGCTGTGTATTGACCAAGAAACCAATAATAATTGATGAGGATTTTATTTTAGCAGATGTGCTTTTAACACTGAACACTACTTAGTTGCAGGCAATTACAGTCACATGCAACTAAATAGAAGACAAGTATCACAAACAGACAGAGAAATTGATGGATTTCCCAGAATTTTCGAATACTTAACTACACTATTCTCTATAATAAAAGGAATTAAAAATAAAGAAACAAAGCAAGTGGTGCCATCTAGGGATTGAAAATGGAAGCAGAATAATCTGTGCTAAAGTTCCCTGCACTGGAAGAAAGTAAGAAAAACTGGAAGGGGATAAATTTACTAATAACAATTTAACTTATTTGAAAATAAGTGTTATATTATTTCTACAGTAAGATACAAGGTAATTAATTTTCCCTAAACAATACAGTGAAAATTATTGTAATATTCCTATTCATCTACAGTGTGTTACATTGTGTTAATGATGATATAAATTCAAATTTCTAATAATTAAATAACTTTCCTTTCCTGTTCCTCTTCCTTCTAATGCTGATTTTCTATTTTTGCTGTTGTTTTGAATTAAAATTTAATTTCGAAATTCACACAAATCATAGATTCTCTTAGCAAACATATAAACGTACATATACATATTATACACATACATGCATAATACCAAAGAAGGTTATTGCAGATGCACAAATGAAGTTAAACATTAAACTGATAAGCAATACGATAGTGTTAATAATGAAAATTTTAAAACTCTTTGGATTATGGCAGGGTTTGGATTTCTATGACCTACAAGTTAATTGAAAATGCCCTTAAAAGTAGCCAGAAAGTGCATTTAAAATGAGAAAAATGCCCTTAAAAATATAAAATAATAATGTAAAAAATGACACAATTGACAGACACATAAAAATGAATTCAAATTCAAACAATTACACACACTGTCACTTGAATTTTATTTTTCCTTCCAAATTTCCAACCTTACACATTATAATTGCATTGAATTATGAAGTGCTTCAGTACTTTTCCACCTGCCATGCATTTAGCAGGTATTTTAATGTCTTAACTGCCATGGAAAACATACAAGATTCATTTGCCAGTGCCACAGTTTTTCACACAGGCGAGTATTAGAGTTATGTGATGTATTAGGGGGAAAATAAGTGCAAGTTTTACTTTCTAAAAACTGTTTACTTTCACAAAATAAAGAATAAAAAGAAAAAAAATGAATGCACAAAATTTAATGTTTTAAGTAAAAGTATAATAAAAAAATGTAAGTATAATAAAAATGATGTTTTTATAATAAAAAAGTTCCCTAAAATGGAGTTTCGATCAATTCATTTTTAGACTTTTAAAGTGTAATATCAGGTTTCTGTGTTATACCTTGTGAAATCAGTATGCCTAAAAAAAAAACATATATTTCTTCTGAACTGGTTGAATGCCACGATTCTGTTCTTGATTTTTTTGTTTGCAAGGTGTTGGTTCATATACTCGTCTACAAAATGGTTAGTTTCAGTAACAATATGAAGCATGAGCAGTTCATAAAAAAATAATTCATAAAAGATAAATGGGTTTGAAACATCCGTTATATCTTTCTTTATTCCTGGAACCTACTACAAAAAGTAAACAAAAATGGAAGACACAGAAATTTAAAAAATACGTTTACTCAAACTAACACCCGCCAATACGATGCAGTCATTACTTTCACCGCTTTAGACACATCCTTCTCTCCAATTTCATTCCCACACTTCTTTGAAATAGTATCTTCCTTCGCATACTTTGTCAAGGTCATTGTGCAGTTGCATTCTAGAGCTTTGCGAATAATTTTACGGGTAGCAGCGCAAAGCAAATGAGAGTATTTTGGAAAAACGTGTATATACGCCCAGGGCAGTTAATGCATCGGCTGTGCAAGGCGTATATATACGTCCGCGGTAGTTAAGGGGTTAATTGTAAATAATTTTTAGTTATATAAATAGTTTATAGATAACAATTTATTAGTATGAACAGCATTTATTATTATAAAATATTTATTTCATTCTAAATTGGTAAAAAAAACAAACTGAAAGGAACGAGGACACTATAAACGGGAGATACAAATTTTAGCATATCCACTAGCATGGCAGAAATTACTTCGGTCTTCATATGTAGGTGGTGGTACACAAATTCTACAAAGTAGGAGTCCAAATATTGATGAATAAGGTCTCTTTGGAATTTGTTCCACCATTCAGTGCTGTCTCCAGTTAGTTTTAAATAGTTTGAAAACATTCGATAGAGTGAGTACGACAACTAGTGAATAGGACAATGAGATTAAACAAATGTTTCACAGTAGAATGATTATATCATTCAGTTTTCAACCTGGATGATTTGTAACCTATCTAGCAGTCAGAAAATATTGTTGATCCATCTGCTAAATTATTCTTTACTGTGTCCATTAAAGTCTTAGCACAGCAATCTAGAATAGGGACTATGAAGCATTTTTCTGCTTCTTAATACACACCTCCAGAAATCCACTGTAGAGGTTATGCATGAACTATGTAATATTTCTGTTTTCTAAGCAAACTTTTGTCAATTTTAATGATTTAGACAGTATCTTAATTTTAGAACGTTGACATCAAAAAATTGCAAGAAACCTTTTGGAGATAGCTGTTCCATCCACCACCACGTTGTGATTTAATTTAAGCTGATGTTCATAAAAATCAACATAGATTGGTGCAAAACATATACTGCTGAGAAATAGAATGCATGGTTTTTCAAACCACATTTCTTTTCAGATGACTTTTCCCTCTCTGCTTAACCAAAAATGGCAGAACTATTTAGCTTTTACCAAATATTTGACTTTCAACAGATGCTTATTTAAACAGATTCTTTTTTTATGGATAAGATAGAATGATCTTGATAGAATATAATTGCTGCTTGTTTGTTGACTGAAATATTTGACTTTCAACAGATGCTTATTTAGACATTCTTTTTTTATGGATAAGACTTATCTTGATAGAATGTAATTGCTGCTTGTTTGTTGACTGATAAATCCCAATTTTTCAAATCTACTGCAGTAAATTACAAAAATCGAAAACACAAACAAACGTATTCGAAAGAAATAAATTGTGTGGGAGACGCACATAGACAAATAGTTTGATTCCCAGATGTAAATGAATAGTTAAATAAATTTAAATTAATTAAAATTTTAAATGTTAAGCATAACGTTCTTTCCCAATATGCACCTGAATCGTTTACAACTTTAAAACCCACCAAAATGAGTGGCAGTATATTTGTTTTAATATTACGAGAAGCTTCTCTTGATATTTAATGCAGTTATTTGACCATAACTGAAAAAAACTGCTCACTTATCATTAACTCTTCTTCATTTTCAAAAGAGTCTACTTCTCCTGTCAAGATGAGAGATATTTACCTCATAGTTTGAAGGCCACAGTTTTTAGTAAAAACAGTGTTGAATTTAGCAAATACAGTGTTTGAAATTTTGACCTTTTTAAAGCACTGCCTAATTTACCAATTTAATTTATCACATTGACAAATTTACTTTTCTAAGGATTTAACAGCTGAAATTAGAATCCTGAATCTGGATTTAATGTTAGCAAGATCTTCTTAAATTTTGTCTGTGGGAAGAACATTTTCTGCGGTTTGAACTGAAACAGCATCAACTAAAGCTATTCACAATTGATTTCACAATTTGAAATTTTCATTATAGTACATGCATGCATTGAGCCTCAAAATTCTCTGAAATGCCTTAACATTCCAAAAACTAGAAAGTTCCCAAAACATTTTAAAAATTGATTTTCTGAATTTAAAAAATGCTTTAAAAGAGAAAATATAGGAAAAATAATGCATACGTCATCAAAATCCAGGTCTTAAAACAGCAGTGATATATATGAATAAAATATAACAATAACATGAAATACGAACAAAACAACTTCTTTCACCTACAGTCTTTAGCCTAATGTCATCTGCAATGGATTAAATCTCATATGGTAGAAAAATAAATGGCATTTCTGAAATTTCACATGAACTAATGCATTTATGACTACAGTTCCGCAGGATCAGAGCAAATCATCTTTTCTTTTGAATTAATCCATTTAAAATTACAAAACAAGTTACCACATACATTAGCAATAAAATTTCTGTTTTGTTACCCTATTCTATACACTCACTATATTATATATATATATATATATATATACTTAAGAACTCCATCTGTTGCTTTTAAACAACTCAATTTCTTAATCAGTAAGAAACAGATTAAATGTGAAAGCTAAATATCTTATATTTGCAAAATCATAACAGACTTAAAGAAAAAGTAAAACAATGCATTTACAGTGAATCAATGCAAAATCATGTTTCGAGACCAACAACCTTTTTGGGCTAGTAACAAGCAATCTTAAATTAATATTACCCTTTTAACATCTATAAATAATACTTAAATATAATATTTTATATGCTTAGAATTCTGCCCTAAAAAACACAACTTTTAAACAAAACATTAAAAGAGCAAAATACATTTTTCATACCACATGGCATACTGATTTGCCCTCCAGATTTCAGTAGCTTTAAACGACTCTTCTTAAACTTTCCTTTCCTCTTTTTTGGTGTTGGCCTACCTTGCTGTTGTTGGAGAATCATAATATTTAATTCTCGTTCAAGCAAATCGATTTCACGTTCAGCAAGTTCTTGTTCCCTTTTCCTCAAAAATTCTTCTTGAATTTTCTGTTGCAGCAAAGCTTTTGTCAGTTCCTCTTCCCGACATCTCAGTTCCTAAAATTTCAAAATTTTCATCTCTGCAGCAAAATCAAAGTTTCATTGATATTCAAGTTTTTATTTCCCAGATCAAGTATGATAAACTAACATTTCAAATATAAGTAATTAAATAATTTCATATGTTTATTATTAAATAACAGAATTCAATAATTAAGAACATAAGAAAACTTACATCATTTTATTTATTATTGTTAACAAAATGAAAGAAATGTGCGTAAAAAATATGCATCTAAACTAATCAACACGTTATGAAAAGAAAAAAAGTAGGCTTAAAAAATATTAAAATAAAACAGTACTTCCACCAAAAAGACATAAAAAAAATTTCAACGAGGCAATACAAAATGCCACCAAAAAGCATTTATGTGAAAACCCAGAATATGTCCAAAAAGTATTTATGCAGTGACTAAGGTATGCATATAACATTCCACTTCTCCAGACACTTTTAGCAGTGTCACTGCACATTATGATCCCTCCTGCAGAAATTTTAGTTTCCACATACTGCAGTTTTCAGTATCTCCAGCAAAACTGAAATTAGCTTTCTGCATGCATGCAGAGCAATGTGGCTAATTTGAAAACGAACTGTGCCTCTTCTTCCTTCCTCCTTTCAGAATTTTGTCATCAGGTTTGTGAAATGTTAGTGCTTTTTTTAATGAAAACAGATCACTCTGTACATAAGGAGTACAATAGCGCAAAATCTATGCAGGCCTTGTATGCAAGTATGAGAATGTAAAAAAATACATGGACTGGATGCATCAGCGGAATAAACATAATGACACCTAAACAAGCAGTTTTTCACTAGCCAAGTGGAACATGTGTTTAGATGTACCAGCAATATAGATAGAGCTTTGAAATGAAATTCAACTCATCCTGAAAACTATGAAGCTTGAAAAATTTTAAATGTTTTTACTGCTGTCCCCATGTATGAGCTATCAATAAAATATTTTAATGCTTTATAAGGTACCGTATTTTTCGCTGTATAAGACGCACTTTTTCTCCCCAAAATCAGGGGGGGAAGTGCCTGCGTCTTATACGGCAAATACAAAAGCCCACCATGGCCCTCTGCTGCCCCTCCACTTCTGCATACATACCTTACCGCAGGAATACTCGGCCACTCCGTTCCCTTCCACTTCTTGGCGCCGTCTGAGACCAGGAAGCCCCGCTCTGCCTCGCACTGTATTTGGACGGTCTCTGCCTCGCGCTGCGATTGGCTGAGCGAAGAGGCGCGTGCCTTCACTCGCTCCTGCGCTGGCTTTGTGCACTTTTTAGTCTCGTAAGCCAGCGCGGGAGCGGGTGAAGGCACACGTCTCTTCGCTCAGTCAATCGCAGTGTGGGAGCAAGCGGAGGCGCGGATAGCTGTGAGCTGTGATATATGTAGTATGGTATATCTGAATGAAATATATCATATTTCATACCACCCCATCAAGATGTCGAAGCAGAAGAGACTGGCATATAAAGTTGCTTTCAAGCTGGAAGTAATAAAATTTGCTAAGGAGCATGGAAACAGAGCAGCGGAGAGACACTTTGGGCCACCTCCAACTGAGCAAATGATAAGAGAGTGGAGGAAACAGGAGGATCAGCTCCAAAAGTTGGATAAAACCAAGCACACCTTGCATGGACCAACTGCAAAGTGGCCAGAGTTAGAGGTAGAAGTAAAGGAGTGGATCACACGTCACCGGCAAAATGGACTTTCTGTCTCAACAAAAATGATAATCTATGAGGCCAAACGCATTGCTGTGGAGAAAGGCATTCAGGATTTCACCGGATCACCATCGTGGTGCTATAGATTTATGAAGAGATCTGGCCTTTCTATGCGCAACAAAACCAGAATTGCACAAAAAATGCCAAAGGAATACGAATCAAAGATTCTGTCTTTTCATAAGTTTGTTATTTTGATGCGAGGAAGAAGAATAACTTTGAAATGAGCCAGATTGGGAACATGGATGAAGTCCCGCTAACGTTTGATGTGCCATCTAACAGAACCGTAGATAACAAAGGAGCCAAAAGCATAACCTTAAATACCTCAGGGCATGAGAAAACCCACTACTCGGTTGTGCTGTCCTGCTGTGCAGATGGTACCAAACTGCCGCCAATGTTGATCTTTAAAAGGAAAACATTCCAAAAAAAAAAAAAAAAACAATTCCACGGGGAGTCATCGTGCACGTTCATGATAAAGGGTGGATGGACGAAAATGGCATGAGGCTGTGGATTGACAAAGTGTGGTCCAAACGTCCTGGCGGGCTTCTGAAGAAATCTTCCTTGTTGGTGCTTGACCAGTCAGAGCGCACATTACAGAAACTACTATAAAGAACTTTAAGGAAGTTAAGACCCAAATAGCTGTGATTCCTGGTGGTTTTACCAGCCAGCTGCAACCTCTGGACGTTTCTATTAACAAACCGTTCAAAGTTCTGATGCGAGAGGAGTGGAACACCTGGATGGCAGCTGGGAACCATGATCTGACTCCTACTGGACGGATGAAGAGGCCCACTATCACACAAGTGTGTGAATGGGTTAAAAGGTCATGGGACTCCGTAAAGAAAGACATTGTTGTAAAATCATTCAAGAAGTGTGGCATTAGTAATGCCTTGGATGGAACAGAAGACGACGTCTTATTTGACACCAGTGAGGAAGAAAGTGATGACAATGACTGCGTGGATCTGTCCTTCCTCATTTCTGATAGCAGCGAAGAAGAGGAATTCTTGGGGTTAGAATAAAAACATGACAGCCTTATTTTTGTTACTTTCACTGTTTGCTGACTGTTTATGAGAGTAAAGATAGCTCTTAGTATGTTACATGGTTGACATAAAATTTTTCTTAAACTGCTGTTAACTTTATACAGTTGATATAAAATATTTTACTACAGAATTTGGTTCATAATCTTTTTTTTTTCTAGATTTGCCTCCTTTAAAATTGGGTGCGTCTTATACGGCGAAAAATACGGTATTTCTCCAGTCTTTCTAGCATGCCTTCGTGGTGCAGTGGTTCTGCACACTGGAACGGTATTCCAGGTCTGTGGTTGGATTTCTGGAGAAGGCGTTCTTAATTTTTCATCTCTCCAGCTTTTCCAATAACCTAATGTCTCTACAGCTTAACAATGACAATCTATGTACAAAAACTTGAAACTTTTATTTATGAAAATTTGATATTATTCTTGTGCAAACAACATATTTTAATTGGTTTCATACCCCCACTATGAATCCAAATGTCTTGCTCATGCTTAATGCTCATGATAACCGAATAATGACAATTAAATTGTCATTTATGCCTCAAAATCCTTCGATCCCATTTTCAAATTCTTCACGCTTTAAGTAAAATGTTTTAGTACACTTGTAATATTTTCTGATATTTGATCGTATCAGAAGCTTTTGAATTAGAAAGTACGGCAAAATTTACGGCATGGTAAGATATTGCCAAATGTAAGCTAATTTACATCCTATATTAATACGCACAGTAGCGACACCTGATGAAGAATGAACAAGTACCCCATCAACATGCCTTAATGATTGATCAAGATTATTCATCACATAAAGTGTCATACCTAGCTGTACAAAGTCAAATAAGTTCATGATTTTTTGCTAAGGTGCTTCAAGAAAAATCAAAATTTATTACAGTACATAATTCATAGTAAAACATTCAGAATTTCAGAATAAAACTGGAGAATTCAGAATAACAATAGACCAAGAACATAATTAATACTATATTAATTATTTTTAAGACAGTTACACTTCTAAAGAGTTGCTAGTAGAATACATTTATGAAGAAAACATTTTATGAAGTTACATTTTTGAAGAAAAGAGTGAAGAGCAGCTGACTAACAGGTGAAAAGCAGAGGATATGGGTGGGGAAAACTGTATGCATACTTGCCAACCTATAACACTCAAAAATCAGGAGATTTTTTTAAGAAATCAAGAGATTTTTCGCAGTGTTAAAAAGACTTTTTAAATGATAAAAATATAGTTTTTAATTTTAATAATTAAAAAAAAAAAAAAAAAAAAAAAAAAAAAAAAAAAAAAAAAAAAAAAAAAAAAAAAAACAAAAAAAAAAAAAAAAAAAAAAAATAATTACTTTAAATAATTACTTACTTAAATGCAAGTAGCACAAAATACCTTATAAAAAAAAAAAAAAAAAAAAAAAAAAAAAAAAAAAGAAAAGAAAGGGGGGGGAAGACGCTTTAATCAGTTTTCGTACAAATGTTATGAACAGTGGCAAATTTTGCTTTCGTTAAAAAAGAAACTTCATAATTTTGTTCATAGCAATTTCCCCATAGGCCTGCTTTCGCTAATAAAAGTTTTTCTAATGTGTCGTCACTAATAGTAAATCTAAATTTAGTCATCGTTTTCACAACAACACCGAAAATCCTCTCACACTCTGCATTACTATGGGGAACTGTCAAAATGGCCAACATAATTCTAGAATGTTCACTATATTTTAAAATTCCATCAGCAGCTTTAAGTTTTCCCATTAAACACCACTGGGTGTCAATCCTAGCTGAATTTATAACTCCATCAAGTTTTCTAATTGAAAACTGCAAAATTGTGACTGCGATATATCAATGGCAACATCAATACCATCATCTTTCATGACTAAATGAAGTAACACAGGAAATCTGTTCAAAAAGTACCTTATATCAGAAAAAGATGCATTTGCTAAAACAGAAACATCAGCAACTTTAACATGCAAAATCAATTCATCGTTGACTGGAAATTTATGTAGTATGTAATCACATACTCGACAGAAGTAACTTCTAACGTGAAGATAAAACTTATTTTTGTCTTCTTCTGAAAGTTCTTCCACTACTTTTGTAGTTGCAGCTCCTATTACCAAATCTTCATCTTTCTTCTGATTTTCTGTTTCGCCATAAATCACATCATATATAGAATTACATGACAAAACACAGACTGATTTTACAAACTTTGATAAAATGTCTTTAAACAGATCATAAATCATTGATTGCAGAACATGAATTAATGGAATTCTGCTTTGTAGAACTGTGTTAAGAACATCAAATGATGGCAAAATGAATTGTAAAAAAAAAAAAGCAAAAAGTTTTCTTAAGGTCCGAAGAAAAAAACATAAATATTCATTCTTCACAAGATAAACTTACAGTAATCAAAAAATGTTTTGTGTGTTGAGAAATTTTTTTTATTTTGAGAGAGATTTGTATCAGCTTTACGCTTACATTTTGCAGTATTATTTTGAGAACTGCCAGTTGAATTGCTGAATGGTGCAGAAATTACTTAATTTTTCTCAAACCTATTTTTAACAATGAAAGTAGTAACTACATCTCCATTTACTTAAGGTATTTCATAACTTTCAATAGAGACTTTTATCTTAACTCTCGAAGCATTTACCTCTTTAAAAAATGCAAGAAGTGAGTTCCATTGATCGAGGATTCTAGATAAGCATTTCTTTAAAGACAGACAGCGTGTACACACATTTCAAAATTTTTCTTATTTCAGTATTATGCAGCTGTTGGAACTGTTTTAATTTTTTCTTTCTTTTAGAACTCCTTTCAAGAAGATAATAATAAATATCACCACATTAATAATCATCCACATTTATTGGTAAAGAAGCTGCCCCTTTTTCAGCTGCTAAATTTCAGAAGTGACAGGTGCACCTCATAATCTGGAAATCTGAATTTTCCTTTCTTAAGATGCCTGCAACACCAGTCTTCAAGCCTACCATTACTGGTGCATTATCGGCACCAAGTGTTAAGCAATTATCCAGAGGGACTGCATTTTCTTTTAAAGTTTTAATAATTAGCTTTCTTTTAAAGTTTTAATAATTGCTATATTAAAGCTATATTAAAGCCTGTCGAATGTCCTTTTAAAGTGGGGACAGAAAGTAAACTGCACTCAATTTCTGAAGACTCTGGATTAAAAAAAGATGCAACAATTGGATACAGTTTTGAATCAGTATTATTGCTTCCATCTGCAGAGAGGTAGAACTGAGCTGTTTTAATTCGATCAATAACTGAAGATTTATTTTTCAAACCCATTTATTTAACAATTGCACCTGTTTTGGTCCTTGCACTTGAGTATTTCTTAGCGATTTCACTATCGGGAAACATTTTTCTAAATAAAGCTGCAGCGTGATCCGATGCATTCAGTGGCAGGTTATGCTCCAGTAAAAAGGCAGAGAACAGACATTCCACATTAATAATTTTTGGTCCTTTGTTTCCAAAAAAAAATTTAATTTTTCATTTTTTTCAAAACAACTCATGTTGTCCTTGTGATGTGTATGCACATGCTTGAGAACATCTGCCCTTCCACCAAGCGAAATCGAAACGACAGATGGTACACCTCGCAAATTTATTACATTTCCTTGAAGAAATAATGGAAGGAAAGTGAACTGTGTATGATTTTTGAAACATACATGTATTTCACCTTTCTCGCAGACATAATAAAAGATGATAATTTCTAAAACTATTTCCCAAAGGCATGCGTACTCACACAACTCAGGATAAGATGAACGAAATAACTAAAGAACATCCAAATAACAGCCTTGAGCTTGCTTTATGCTCATTGGCTAATGCATGCCAGATGAAACGCAGTGGAGCTGGATGCCCATTGGAGAATTGGAGAACGACATTTCGGATACGTATGCTCTCACTCAAAAAGCAGAAATTCTCATCTGATTTGCAAGGTTTTGTTTTAGATATAATCTAGAGAAAATTCAATTGCTTTTCAGATGTAAAAAATCACTTTTTTTTTTTTTTTTTTTTGGTTCACATATCGAAGTATTCAGTGAAGTTCCATAAAAATCATGAGAAATTTTAAGAATAAGAAAAAGTCGGGAGAAATATATTGTAAATCGGGTTGGCGGGAGAGTGGTCGAAAATCGGGAGTCTCCCACCTAAATCGGGAGAGTTGCCAACTCTGTGTATGAGATGTTTGGTGGGTAAAATACTTCCTTCAAGTAAAAGATTTCGCCAATTCTTTGCTTACGTTTTATGCCGGGCAATTTTTGCTTACTGTGCACTGTTTAAAACACTAACTTTTTGCTATTTGAAAGGACTGATAAGCATCTTTTTTATAATTCCCCAAATTAAAGGTGAGAAAGAACCCTAGAACTATGCACTGCAGATGAAGGTTATGCACTAATTTTCTTACCTCCTGGCAATCTATATAATGTTTTGGATATAAAAATTTGATAGTTAGTTTTCAATAAATAAACACAAATTAGGGTCTTCACAATATGTTTTGACTATTTTTACACTAATGTCTGTGTGCGATTTTTTAAAAATTTTATTTTATTTTTATTTTTGTCCATGATAATTCTTATAAAAACTACTAAAAATTATTGTTTTTTGTATTTAATCTTCCTACATTCATATGAACAGCTGATTAGATATTGGGTAAAACTGGACAACAGGATGTAGTACTTTTCTTGAAGACTATAACAGTTTTGCAGCAATCAACATAATATATTGTTGCACATATCAACTCTTAACATACTGATACAGGAACACTGTTCACTGATGCTTAACTATTGTGAGGATATACATGCAGATCTAAACGAATTTATATTTCTTGATATTATAGAGAGAACACAGAAGATTCGATCATGGTATTTGTTTCAAAGTATTTATGTTAAATACATTACAAACACTTCATTTTCTTTCATTAAAAACCAATCATATTACATTTTTAACTGTTAAATAAAATACAATTGTTAATAAAACTAAAATAAAGGGGCAATCATTTGATGATATTGGTATAAATTTAGGAAAAAAAATTCTAAATACATGGTCACAACCATGGTCTAAACACAAAATCTACACATGGTCAGTTATAACCAAGTAGATATCATCCAAAATTTTCATATTACAGACCTTTCCATTGATTGGAACAACAAATTAGATATTGTTTCGAAATGATTCACTGGAAGTGATAATTAAACGTCATTGCTATTTAAAATGTGGAACTGGCGAGAGGATATCAGAATTTTATTAACTCTTTATATATCAGATCTGATATCAGATTATTTATCTGAATATCAGATTTTTTAACTCTTTAGTTTTGATTTGCTTTGGTTTTTCAGGGACTATTTTCCTAAGCCTTCAAAGAGGACTTTCTAAAGCTTTGGAGTTTTATGAATGTCCTGAAATGCTAATGTTCCTACTAGAAATTTCCTTAACTACTAGAAGTTCATGTATTTTCAGAAAACATTACATGAACCATAAATCATTCAGTGACTGTCTGTACATTATAGTTACATTACAAACAACCTCATACCTTTTCCCTGCAACGTAGTTCAAGGAACATCTCTGCAATCTCATGCTTCCAATCCTCTTGCAAAGTATGGAAAGATTCTTGAGGTGTATTCATGAATGGTGACCGAGATATTTCTTCCAGCTCATGTAATATTTGCATAAAAGTTGGCCTCTGATGTGGATCAGGATGCCAGCATGCTGAAATTCAATACATTGAATGCTTATACATATGCTAAAACAGCTTTCTCGATACAGTTCAATAAAAACCAAATATTTTATTAAAAAAATAGACAAATGTATTAATTTTTTATTTAAGTATAAAAATTTAGGAGAGATTTACACTTAAAATATTGTTATGTTATTTTCTTTCTTCCTTTACGTTCGTTTGGATTTGGAGTGAATAACGACGACAGCACTTGATGGAATATCGAAACACACTTTATTGGCCGGTATTAATCAGGACAGCTCCAAAGTCACATTTTACAGTCATCGAAGATCTACTATAAACTCGCTGGAACAATCAGTGACACAGCCTTCAGGTTATCAGGCTATAAGAGTGGAGACAGCTTCACTGCAAAGCACCGACCATGCTTGGTCATTCTCGGAACTCCACGTACTCTCGAGATTCTCCATGCTATAACTCACGATGCACTCGACGACACACAGAACACAGCTCCCAATTCTTTGGTTCAGTCGTTCCCAGAGCTCAATCTCGATGGTGCACTAACCGCGATATACTAAGAGACACTTTTGATGCACTCAACGACCCACTCGGCACTCGCTGCCCGACTGTCAACTCGATCGACTCCGCATGAACTGCCTAACTCGAGACACACTAACTAACTCGACTCACTCTCCGCATACCAGCAGGGTATATATAGATTTTGGCTTGTATTTGAGAACATTCTGAGCTAAACCGGTAAGAATTTGTTCCAGAAGGTTCTCCATCTGTCCATGGCATATCGCCAATTTTGTCGCCAAAAGGACGATTTCTCGCCAAATGTGGCAACCCTGCCTTCCTTTTGCCATTTTAAGGCAACCCTAAACCCTGCTTAGTGGGGAAGCTCTCTTACTGCGCCTGTACATTTCGTAACAATATCAAACTCATTTATACTTTCAACACAGCTATACCTTAAATTTGTTAAAAATATTGGTACTTATGTATTATCGCAACCAGGTCGGCGCTATTTGTAAGTTTGAGTAAAAAGTATGAATAGAAAGAAAATGTACATTTATTAATTACAGATAATTTTTAATACAGTTTTTTATATTATTTTGTTTTAAAATATAAAATAGCAATTAAACCCTTCCGTTTTCGAATTTGAATAAGTTGCAGAATTATTTTTTTGGCAGAAATCTTTTGGCTATTGCTTTTAGCACTGATTGAAAACCGTATTTGCCATAACCATGTACACGTTGACTTATTTTTACTTAAAAAAACATCCCAGAAATGCACAAAAATGGCATTGCGTACACTCTTGACTTTATCCATGTACACTGCTATTTTCTCATAAATTACAAAAATTTGCATGAAAATGCAGGAAAATTTTGTGAATCTCCACATGCTCTTTTTACAAAACTACATATAACACATAGGGTTGCCGTAAGTAGGGTCGCCATATTTCGCAATTTATGCAAATTTTGGCCTAGTTGCGTTAATACGCAAGTACCAAAATATTAGTAATAAATAACTACTAAAACTATTCAAGTGTCCAAATACTAAAACTATTCAAGTGTCCAAAAGGAAGTAATTAATTAGTTTAGACTCTTTTTACAAAGTTATCAGGGATTTCTTTCTATTTAAAACCTCCTCCACTACTTGTATAATGACGTAAATATGAACTTGTGGCTTTTAGAAAATCTAGATGCGACTCTTGAACATTCCTGAATTCAAATATACGGCTCTTACCGACATGAAGTTTGGCCAACCCTGATATATAGAATTAGAAGACAAAACAAAGATTGTTTTTACAAACTTTGATAAAATTTCTTCTCTACTGTTCTGCTTATCGGGACCGGATTAAAAAATGCATGAATGTATGCACATATGTATGTATGTACACATATATGTATATGTATACACACACCTACATCCATACTTACTTATATACATGCATACATACATTTCCGAATCCAGTCCTGATAACAGAAGAGTATCAATGTCTTTAAACAGATCATAAATCATTGATTGCAAAACATGAATTAATGGAATTATACTTACAACGAATGATGGCAAAATGAATTGTACAAAAATGCTTTGTTAAGCTCCAAATGCAAAAACATAAATATTTGTTCTTCACAAGATACACTTACAGTAACTGGAAATTGTTTCCCTTGTTGAGCAATTTTTTATTTTGAGAGAAATTTGTATTAGCTTTACGCCTATATTTTGTAGTATTATTTTGAAAACTAAAAATTAAATGGCTCACTGGTGCAGAAAAAACTTTATTTTCTCAAACCTATTTTTAACAGTGGAAGTAGTAACACCTCCATTTACCTTAGGTATTTCATAACTTTTAACAGATCCTTTTATCTTAACTCTTAGAAACATTTACTTTTTCTAAAAAATGCGAGTGAGTTTCATTGGTTGAGGATTCTAGACAAACATTTCTTTAAAGATAGCCAGCATGTGCATGCATGTTTCCAAATTTTTCTTATTTCTCTATTATCTGACTCTGTAGTATCTGACTGTTGGAATTGTTTCAATTTTTCCTTCCTTTTAGAACTCCTTTAAAGATAATAATAAACATCAACAATGTGTTTATCCACATTTATTGGTAAAAAAGCTGCCCCTTTTTCAGTTGCTAAATTTAAGAGGTGAAAGGTGCACCTCATAATTTGCAAATCTGAATTTTCCTTTTTTAAAATGCCTGCAAGACTACCATTACTAGTGCATTATGGGCACCAAGTGCTAAGCAATTGTCTAGAGGATCTGCATTTCCTTTTACTGTTTTAATAATTATCTGTACCATATTAAAGCCTACTGAATGTCCTTCTAAAGTTAGAAACTCACTTTCTGAAGACACTAGATTAAAAATAGTTGGATACAGTTTTGAATCTGTATTATTGCTTCCATCCGTGTTTCTTAGCGATTTTGCTGTTGAGAAATATTTTTCTAAATAAAGCTGCAATATGATCCGATGCATTCAGTGGCAGACTGTGCTTCAGTAAAAAGGCAGAGATTTCTCCCCTCCTCCCAGCTGAACTCAGTTCATCCTTGTGTTTTTGTGTTTGAGAGCATCGGCCCTTTCACCATGTGAAATCAAAAAATCACAATGCAAATGGTACACATCGCAAATGTATTACATTTCTTTGAGGAAATAATAAAAGAAAAGTCATCAGTATACGATTTTTAAAAAGTACAAGACTATTTTACCTTTCTCACAGACATAATTGAAAACAAAAATCATAATTCCTATTAAATAATTCTTGAAAGCACATGCACTCACAGCACTCAGTAACAAGATAAAGGAAATAACTACCATGATCTTACGTAGCATATTCGGAAACTAAGTACCGTTTCATTCTAGCGCTGTGGCAGGCGTCCCAAGCATGCGCACTAGTTCTTGTTCACTGACTTTCAATTGTCGCCATTTTGGTTGCTCTATGTTGTGTTTCAGTTGCTGTGCACATTCAAAATGTTTAAGACAATTAGTTCTCCCGCTGACTGTGAGATTTGTGTCGTGATTAAATTTTTGAACGCGAGGAATGTTAAACCGCCTGAAATTTATCGTCAAGTGACAGAAGTTTACGGTGAATACGCGATAAGTGATGGAATGGTGAGGAAGTGCGTAAGAATGTTTAATGCAGGTCGAACAAATGTCCACGCCGAGGCTCGGAGTGGTCGGCCTTCTGTTGTCACCGATGATTTGGTAAGGAAAGTTGATGAAGCAATTCATGAGAACAGACGCTTCACAATGACAACTCTTTCAGAGGCATTTCCACAAATTTCACGTACTGTTTTGTTCGAAATTGTGTCCGACCGCTTGAATTATCGCAAACTGTGTTCCCGATGGGTTCCAAAAATGCTCACTGATGTTCACAAAACAAAGCGACTTGGTAGTGCCCTGACATTTCTCACGCGGTACAGTGATGAAGGAGAAAACTTTTTAAACCAAATTGTGACAGGTGATGAAACTTGGGTGTGTCATTTCACACTAGAATCGAAACAACAATCCATGGAGTGGAGACACACTCATTCTCCGAAAAAACAAGTTCAAAGTGACAATGTCATCACAAAAAATCATGTGCACTGTCTTCTGGGATAGGAAAGGCGTTTTGCTTACTGAATTTCTTCCCAGAGGTGAAACCATTAATGCTGCACGATTAACAAAACTAAGGGGTGCCATTCAAAACAAACGAAGAGAAATGCTCAGTAAAGGAATTGTGTTGCTCCATGACAATGCTTGGCCCATACTGCTGGTGTCACTCAATCGTTAATTCGACAGTTTCATTGGGAGCAGTTCGATCACCCGCCGTACAGCCCGGACTTGGAGCCGTCCGATTATCACTTGCTCCTGCACATGAAGCACGAGCTTGGTGGCAAGCGCTTTGGATCTGACGATGACACGAAAAATGCTGTGGAGTCGTGGTTATCGAAACTAGCGGGAAGTTTCTTTGACGATGGTATACAAAAACTGGTCACCCGCTATGACAAGCGTTTGATCATTGGCGGAAACTATGTTGAGAAATAGTTTAAAACATCTATTTTCATGTAAAAATAAAATTGGATTCAAAAAAATTGTTTTACTTTTTTTTTTTTTTTTTTTTTTCAAAACGGTACTTAGTTTCCGAACACGCCTTGTATTTTGTGCTCACTAACTAATATGTGCCAGATAACAAGCAGTGACACTTGATGCTCTTTGGAGAACTGGAACACGACACTTTCGGATGCGTCCTCTCACTCACAGAGCAGAAGCGTGGCATAATGTGTGGCACTGATGAAATGACTTTTGTTTTCTTTTATATGTAATACAGAGAGAAAACAAGTATTTTCAGAAGCCCCCCCCCCATTTTTTTTTTTTTTTTTTTGTGTGTGTGTGTGTGTGTGTGTGTAGATAATGAAGTACTAAGCGAAGCTACATAAAAATCGTAAGAAATTTTAAGAATAAGAGGAAGTTGGGCGAAATATGTTGTAAATCAAGCAGGCGAGAGAACGGTCGGAATTCGGGAGAGTTGGCAACACATTCAGTGAAGCAATTCTTATTTAATAAATATTATGCAAAAATTTCTTTTTAATATTAAAATATCAATCAATACATTTTCATATACTTACCCTCCATTAGAGAAGAAAATGGTGAAGGGCAAGTTGATGGTATTGGCAACGTCAGTTTATTTACAGCTACACCATAAGCCACAGCCAAAGCATCAATGCCTTTGTAAGGTGTTTCTCCGGTCAGCAGTTCCCAAAGCAATACACCATAACTGAAATGCAAAAATTTTATTTATTTCCAATTCATTTAAAGTCTTTTGAAACTTGTCTTTAGGTGATAAAAGAAAGGGAAAAAAATATACATATAAAATTTAGGGTACTTACGTATTATCGCAACCAGGTTGGCGCGATTTGTAAGTTTGAGTAAAAAAGTATGAATAGAAAGAAAATGTACATTTATTAATTACAGATAATTTTAAATACAGTTTTTTACATTATTTTGTTTTAAAATATAAAATAGCAATTAAACCCTTCCGGTTTCGAATTTGAATAAGTTGCAGAATTATTTTTTCGGCGGAAATCTTTTCGCCATTGCTTTTAGCACTGATTGAAAACCGTCTTCGCCATTAACAGCTTGAGCTTGGCGCCATATAAATTCGATAAGGTATGAGTCAAGATGATGACGGGCTGTTCCTCTCTGTTTTTTGTTGTGCCATTTGGCTGAGCCCCACATGCGCTCTACATGTTATGCGTGAACGCCCATGTTGGGATCCACAAAGTTATATTTGTAATCAACAGTTCCATGCAGAAATCCAGCATTTTTGAACTCACTTGTATTGTATCCTTTCCGGCAATCCGAATAAATGACGCTTCCTTCCTTGATATTTTCGCAAATTTTTTCCATGAGGGTAACGGCGCTTCTGTTAGGTACAGTAACCAAAATAGTCTCTTTCTTTTCTCTGCAAATTCCGCCGAAAACCCATTGCTGTGGTAGTACATGCCCAGTGTTATTCTTTCTTTTTACAAATAAACTTTCAGCTAAACACGTAGGGTTGTCGTAAGTATGGTCGCCAAATTTGGCGATTTATGCAAATTTTGGCCTGGTTGTGTTAATATGTAAGTACCAAATTTAATGGCAGACCAGAAGGCATCCAAAAAGAATAAAGGATTAAAGTACCACGTATAAAATTTCATTCTATCACAAGCCTCCCCAAATCATTAGAAATCAACAAAGGAGAAAGCAGTACTAATCCAAGAGGCTGAAACTACAAAACACTTAGGGCACAAAAAATTCCAATCCTGCTGAAGTGGGAAGCTCAGCAGTTATGACTGTCAGTGCACTGTTACTGACTGCTCTGTTACTTCAATGCCTTGAGGGTAAGTTGGCAAGTTATCAAAACCTTGGCTATGGAGTTTCGTATGTGATGCTGAAGAACACAAATAAAAGAGCTTTTACTATGGTTTTCTATAATCCTATAAGCTGATGATGTTTTATCGTAAAAATTGAATACTTTGGTTTTAGTGGATACTTTGGCATCCTTCTTTGGATCTTTTAAGGTTGTTGTGGAGTTACTGCAGTGCGTTGAGGGTAAGTCAGCAAACCAAGATTCTTGCTGCGATATTTATAAATTTTTAATGGTCCTATTCCGTTTTGAGGACCGTCAAAAAATTGCAGAGAAAATGTATGTTAAGTGAGTGTATAACATGATTCACACTAATAACCAAATGCAGGGTAGATCACCTGTCATTATCCAAACAAGCCCGGTATGGCACATATGGCAAGAACATCAATTTTCTTGTGGGGTGCTCAAATTATTCAAAGCTTTATTTTTTTACGGAAGAACTCAGCCAGATTTTTTTTAAAAGTAACTTTCATAATAATTCTACATAAAAAGCCTTTTCATATAAATTTTGAGTAATGAAATTAACATAAAATTCTCACAAAAAAAAGCACATTAATAATTTCATTTGATTATTACCTCCATACATCACTAGCTTTTGAAAATGTTGATGATTTAATAACCTCGGGAGCCATCCATGCATAAGTACCAGCAGCAGACATTCTAGTTGTTTTATACACTTCTCTGGCAAGTCCAAAGTCTGTTATTTTTAAAGTCTTATTTCTTAAATCCCCATTTTCCAATGGTTCACTGAGCAAAACTGAAAGAAAAAAAATGGGAATATAATTTCAAAATTTATGGCATCTAGAAATTATGTGTATGCAAAGGAATCAAAATGAGAAAAAAAAAGAGTTTCTTATATTTTAGATTTATTAATTTTTATTTTTACATATTTTCTCAATGCTGCCATTCTATAAATGATGAAAAAATTATGCTGCTCAAAAGAAATATTTTTTTATTAAAGTATTTCGTATCTAAATTTCTCCATTGCAATACATAGCTAAATATAACATAGTACTACATAGTAATTTATATGCAATACTCCCAGACATTTAAATGCTAATGAATCGCATTATTTCATTTTAGAATGCCCGTTACTGATTGAACTTGGTTTAATAAAATATTGAAGATATTTTCAAATACTTTTATATCATGATATATATACAATAATCATTCAATAAAAATATTTCTTCCATTGGGTTCCGTGTTTCTCCCATAAAAACATTCCATTTTTTATGGGAGTATATTAAAATTCAATACATATATTTACAGGACTGGAATGATTTCATGTGGACTGACAACACAACAACAGGGTATTCAGTTTAATATTTCCTTATTGTAATGATATTTAGGTACTCTTCTATTATCGAGACCAGATTTAGAAATACATGTATATATGTACGTGTGAATGGATGTACGAGTTCATGTACGCATGTATATACGTGCATGTGTATGTATGTGCATATATTATGTGTATACACACACATATATTTGCACATACATTTATACATTTCTGAATCCTGTCCTGATAACAGAAGCGTTCCAATTTATGTTCATTCAAAGAGAAGAGAAAATACTGTTTCATTTAAGAAAACTTCAAAAGAAAGAAATTCAAAATCATAGCTTAATCAAAAATTAAAGAGCTTCAACTACCTGCATAATCATGATCTGAAAGCTTTAGCAACTTACATAAACTACAAGAATGATGAACATGACAGCTAGTTACAAGTACACATTATCACAGCATATAATCCTATTTCAGTGATTTGTTTGAATTTGCATTTCTCTCAAAAAAATATATAATTGTACAGACCTCGCCAAACGAAACTTTTTTTTAAGGAATTAATAATTCGGTTATCACTTCAAAGTTTATTAAGTATTAACGCAATCATCTTGGCACAATTTGGTAATTTTTTTATTGATGAAAAGTAAAAGTCACTTATCAGGTGCAAGCTGGTCGTTTTCGCACCTAGAAAGATTCCCAAATTATCGATATTAATCATAAATTGGTACATATTATAAACATGTGAAAAAAAGTTTAGCAATTTAAAAGGCAAATTTCAATTATTAATAAACATTACATGACACATCAAAATGATAAAACACTTACATTCTTCAAATATTTCTGTAATTTTTTTAGCACTGGTCTTCTCCTGAAGTACAAAGACATTTGTTTTTGCTTAAAAAAAGAAAAATCGGAAAATCATGGGGACTCGGCTTCATGCAATCTTCGACAACGGCGGCTATCTAAACACATTTCCTTGTTGTTCCCTTTAGAAATTTTTCACCAAAATTCTGTGTAGAAATTTTACCTCAGTTTCTTCCATTGCTGGCAAATTTCACAAATTCGTATTTTAAAACTAAAGCAAAAAATATCACAATATGTTTATAAAACCATTATAATTTGAAATACAACAAAACTGAAGGATTGTTAGGAGGACAGTTGTCAGAAGAATGGTCACGCGCATGGTTGCCAATGTTTGACCCATTCTGAAAATTTTGGGACTTCTACTAAGGTGGTTGCGTTAATATGCAAGTACGATTTATTACAGACACCATTTAAACAATTTTATAATCAGATTTCTGACATAACTGGCATTTTATTTGTTTTGATGCTCATTTATGCAAAACACACAAGATTCACACAAGTAACTTTTAAAACAATCAAAACTGCGTCATAAATTATGTAAATAGTTATTGCTATGGTAACAAAAAGTTTGCATAAAAAACTGAAACTGTTTACAAATATTTTTTACTTTTAAGCATAAATTTTCTATAATTTTAAGCATTTTTGATGTTTTAACAAATAGTGTTATACAGTCAAAAGTCGTTAATTCGGACATCCATAACCCGGAATGATCTATAATCCGGACCTCAAAGCTAAAAACTTTCTGCGCATGCGCCGCATTGGAACATGCGCACAGGCGTTTTACGCGTGAGCGTAAGACCTTGACTACTGCGCATATGCGTGTGCGCAAGTGCAGAATACGTTTTCGCCTGCGCGTTTTATGTATAACGGACGGTGTAAGCTCTAATTATCTATTTCAGTTAATGTTGCAGGTTGCGTTGTTCCTTAATCTTGGAATTGGATCAGGCTTATTATTTTTTGCAGACTGTAAGAGCAATTTTATAAAAGTAAACTTGAACTTTCGATTATGTCAAATAGAATTTCCGATGCTGGAACTTCCAAAGGATCTACAAAACGAAAGTATGTTTCGATGTCCAACAAACAAAAAGTGGAATTGCTGCAAAAAATGGATAAAGACATGAAGAATGTGACAGAGAGGTTAGTGAAAACGAAAAAATTTCGATTGACAAGTTAGTCGGTATTTTCGGCACAGCAATTAACGGGACTTGAATAGCGGAACTTTGTAACTGAACAAGAAATTATGTCTTTTTATAGAATTAAAGAGAAAGTATTATCACATAAAATGAAGCAACTTAAAGAACTTACATGGAGAGAAATGTTTAATAAAGTAAACAAATAAATATTAAGCTTTTTTTTTTTTGTAAATTTTGATATCCTTTATATCATAATTGTTCTTTATTTCATAAATTACGGTTTCATATTTTTAATTTTAGAATTTCTGCATGCCATCTTATGAGATTTAAACTGATGATCTATAATCCGGAAAAATCGATAATCCGGAATCGCCAAAGTCCCGACGAGTCCGGATTAACGACTTTTCACTGTATTAATTTATAACGTTTGCAGAAAATATACCTAGTTTTAAGCATTTCTTTTTTGTATTATTTTGACATATATTACAAGCAATTTTTACATTTAAATAAGACTTTTTCAGTATAACGTTTGGATCCTTCCTTCCTTCACTGTAAGTGGTTAGCACATCCACCTAGCAACTGGAAAATTCAGATGAGAGCATAGCTGAATTTTGTGTTCCCCCTTTTGAAAAACATGTCGCTAAAGTGGTAACCAAACTAGAATGAGGTGGACTCACTATCATCTGGGTTTGATCACCTTGGTCTCATGTGATGCCAACTTAAGATGAAGAATTACCCCGTATACCTGTGCATTTATATTTCATTTCCGAGGTTACGGCCCTCTTTAACATCCTTTTTTTTTTTAGCATCATATGTCCCACCCTCGAGCGACGTCTTAAGTGGTACGCTTCTTGGCCAAGGAGATACGAGACTTTAGGTTGATAGAGTTTTATATCCAATACAACCAAATAGGACTAGCTAGAACTGGGAAGTCTGTGGTCCGAATCCCAGTGATCAGGCAACTGAGCTTTCATGCTTTCCTCTATAACGCATTTCTCCCGCCTTCATAGCGTGCCTTCATGGTGTAGCAGTCAGCACACTGAGCCAGTATTTCAGAGGTCCGTGGTTCAATTCCCGGTGAAGGCGATTATTCATTTTTCATCTTGCCTGCTTCCAAATTACCTAATGTCTCTACAGTGGCACCCAAACTAAAAAGGGTGTTGGATGATTATTCTCCACACCCAGGATTTGGTGATTGGGTCCCCTAAAGACCCAGTAGTCCTTTAAAAAAGGAGTATATTAAAAAGAGGAGTATATAACATATTTCTCCTGCCTTCGTGGTGTAGTGGTCAGCACACTGAGCTGGTATTTCAGAGGTCCATGGTTCGATTCCCCGCGAAGGCATTGCTCATTTTTCATATATCATGCATTCATTTTTCATATGCTCCAAAAAAAATCCTAATGTATCCACACTTCTTTAAAAAAAAATCTAACTGGGTCTAATTTTGGTACCCAAACTAGAATGTGCTGGCCTACCAACTGCATTTGGTACACATTATTCACCATCAACAGCATTTAGTAAACTGGGTCACTCATTTTAAATGGGTAAGAATAGAAAGAATAATCATATTCATTCATGTGTATTCTCATGCCGTAAGAAAGTCTTGAAAGCAACAAGAAGAGTCAATAATTAAAATCGAGGCATGGGCATACTTAATTTATAATGTTCCCCAGTTTCCAAAAAAAAAAAAAAAAAAAAAAGAGAGAGAGAGAGAGAGAGAGAAAAGAAAAACTAAGTGGTTCTATAAAGGTAAATAAATCTCTAAATTAAGATTTAAATACTCCATACTGTATGGTGAATATTTGCCTTTACTGATGTCTATCATGCTTTTAAAAAAAAAACAAAAAGAACCATTTAAATAAATTTTCCTTGCATATTTAAACAGGAAACTACAGCACTTCTTTTTTATATTTATCCCTAGACGTGAGAAGAAACTCCTAGAAAAAGGTTCATTTAGGAAAAAAATTTCCATATAATTTTACAATGAATATTTCTCTAAATATATAAAGGGAACAAAATTTGAAACCACTAATTTCAAAGCATAAAACAATTCTACGATTTCTGTATAAACATGCAATCAAAAAGGTGAATTAAGATTTTGTACAAATAATTTGAATTTATGCACCGGCTCACAAACAGGCATTTACAGCATTGGAACAAAGTGCTAAAATAATTTATTTATTTGTAAATAAAAATAAAACTAAATATTTGCCTTGCTTAAAGTCTGACTTACAACTTAGTCACTCAGAAATGGGCAATTATAAATTTGAAAAAGTTAAGTTTCACTTATCTGGGAACAGAGATAAATAATAAAAATGTGTTGGCCCCAGAAATATATAAAAGAATAATTGCTGCGAATGAATGTTTTTATGCCCTGAAGAGTTATTTAAAATCCGGCTTTTTTAAATTAAGAACTAAATTTCTTCTTTACAAAAGTCTTGTAAGAACCATCTTGACTTATGCATCAGACTCGGGCA